CCCCCCCCCGCTACCACTTTTCTAGGATGGTTGCATATCACCTGCCAGGGGCCAATGTACCACAGGTGGTACCCGTACCACTGGTTGAAAAGCCCTGGTTAAGAGAGTCATGCCCGATTTTATGATCTCTTTTGCCATAGTTAAGCAAGTCACTGCAGTTGTTAAGTGAATCACACTATCATTAGATGAATCCAGTTTCCCCCATTGACTTGCTTGTTGGACGGCAGCTGGGGAGGTCACAAATGATCCTGGGATGCTACAAACATTGTAAATACATGCTGGTTGTCAAGTGCCTGAATTTTGATCATACCACTGAGAGTTGTAAGTGCGAGATCCAATTGTAAATCAGTTTTTTTAGTGTCATTGTAACTTTGAACAAATAAGTTGTAAGTCGAGGATTATCCATATAAACAATGCTAGGCAGATGAACTTAGATCCAATGATTCAATTGCTTTGAATATGACTTTTCATTTCACATATGCTTTATGTTTGTTTTTATAAAACCAGTTTAGTTTAGCACAGAATGAAACTTATTTTACAATAGGTAAAGGTATGAACTTCAATCTTACTAAAAATATTTATTTCTACTGAGGTTTGCAGCAGGAGTCCCAATAAATAAGGATCCCAATCACACTCTTTTGTGGAACATTTTATTTATTAATTAATCACATTTATATAACCGCCCTTCTCACCAAAGGCAACTCTTGGCAGCATACAACATATGAGTAAAAACAACAATATAAAAGATATAAAATCACTTTAAAAATAGATATGAAAAAACAGAGATACAAATTCTAGGTGAGAAGAGGATAAGAATAACCAGCTCAGAAGTTGAGCTATCTAAGGTCTGAAGTTCTCCAAAACAAATTTGGCTCTCAATCTGTACATTTCTATTCCACTGATGCCAGTATATTCTATAAACTAGAAAAGTAGGTTCCCTCCAAAGCAGTCAGTTTTGTTGCAACAAAACCATCTTCTTGGTTTATGCTTCAAGCTCAGTAAATATCAGTAAATATCAAGTTTGGGTTGGTGGTTTAATATCATATTAACATCTTTAAACCTTATTTGACTTTACAAAATCATATTAATGAAAGTTGGGATATTTGAGCTACCATAAAACACGCCCATATCAGGATCAGGTCACTTCAACTACATTTCTAGTATATAAAAAATAAATGCCCAACCCTTGTTAAACATCTGTCTAATAAACATCAAAAAGAATATTTTGTTGAATTATATTGTATTCATATCTGACATTCTTTAAGACATATGACAATTTACTTTTTCAAAATAGGCTACTACCTCTCTTTATTCTAAAATGCTGGCAAATTATCCAGCTTCAATTATTTTTCAGCAGTCAATAAAAATAAGTCTGATTTTGAATTTTTGAAAGAACATTCCAACTAGTAACAATGGATGCTGGTTCTTTAAATGCAAATTGAGCAGTCAAAAGATGTATTAATTTAATATTCTTCCATTCAGCAGATTTAAACAGCCCAAATTCTTCTTTCAATTCATTGAATCTCTTGAAATAATTATTAAAAGTATCTTACAGTAATTTTAAGGTACTCTGCATAGATAACCATGATATAGCGCAGTTCAAATATTTCAAATATTTTGGAGTTATATAGTATTTCAAGTCTCTAGGAAGAAAACTATATATATCAGTGATACCTGTTCTGTGGTCTAAAATAGTGCTTCCGCAATTTGAAGATTAAACTGGATATAGGGAGGAACTTATATTCTTCTGACATATTATTTGTTGCAAAAATCAACAAACTAAATCACTGTCTGGTTTGGTGGCAGCAGTGCCTCAGATAGAAAGTCCATACAGAGAATGGTAAGGACAGCCGAGAAGATCATAGGAAGCTCACTCCCTGGTATTCAGGATATTGCTTATAAGCGCTATGGGCTTAGAACTCAAAGCATTGTTAGAGACCCCACACACCCACTTCACGGTCTGTTTCTGTTGCTCCCCTCTGGGAGGAAGTTTCAAAGTATTTCTAGTAGGACTACCGATTGTATAATAGCTTTGTTCCCTATGCCATCCGTCTGGTAAACTCGCAAGATTTGTTTTTCTTGCCATGCACATATATACATAATCCAAACCAGAGTGTGTTGTTTCTTTGTGTCATATAATATATGTGGTATATGCATAATTCTGTATTTATTTATTTATTTTTGACATATATATGTAGTGTATATTGGAGGTGGTGATCCTCTGAGAGCCGTATGCAACGAAATTTCATTTTAATGTCTGCCGATTAGTGTACATTCAAAGTGACAATAAAGTTATTATTCTATTCTATTCTATTCTATTCTATTCTCTTGCAATTTACTATAGGTCGTTTATTATAATTGTGGCTCTTTTTAATAGTACTGCCGGTCTTTTTAGTATCACTTTATTTGACCTTTAGATATGTCACTAATGAAAGTCTAAAATTAGAAGTTCAAGTGAATCAAATCCAAATTTGCTAGTTATTTTATTTGCTTAAAATAAGGCTTAACATGGCTCAGACTGGGCTGTTCTCATTAGTATCATCCGGCAATTATAGATCAAAATTGTAAAAGAGCACTGCAAACAAACCTCTCTTCTACAAACTCTAATCTGGGTATCTATCATCATTTCTCAATGACAGTAAAGAAAATGTAATCCAACAATGGGCATTTTCTTGAGCTCATCTTAATGTTCTACTAACATCTCAGCTCCCTAGAGGTTCCACTAAATAACTAAAGTAAGCCTGAGACAGCTGTCCATGTTTTATGTTGAGATTTTTTTTATAGTGATAGGTCTTGATAAAGGCCTTTATTAAAGTTAACTAGACTACTCAAAAGAAATTTTAAATTCAGTACCTATTAGCATACAGAGATTCCAAAAGTATGTATCAGGTTGCAAAATTTTGTTTTACAGCTAGAGACACAAACACTCTTATAACTTCTGCAGGATTTACGTGAATTAGTTATGCGAACTTTTGACTTACATTTTAAACCCTAAATATTGCCTTATTATTCTATTACAATCATTTTATTAATCTGTGTTATATACCTTTTAGCTTGCATTTTAAATTGCAATGAAGTATTCATTCAGACTAATTGTACATTTTGTAAAAAAAGATCAATAAAATGCTTGAGCCAAGCAAGAGGAAGCATACTAATGTTCAATAAATTGAGGCAGACTTCTTTTTAAAACTTATAAATAAAAATATCAAATTTCTCCAATAGTAATTAGAACTCAAAATGAACATTCAAGGAAATTCAAGAAGGCGTCACAGCATATAACTCTGTCATCCCTCAATCTACTGCCAACTGTACTGTCTAAGGTACTTACTTACCCTAATAGTACTGTACTCTAATAATAATCCAATACCAGGGTCAAATATATTGCAAACAAATTTTTTAAAACTCTAAATTTAAAACTTTAAATTTTAAAAAATATTGACACAAGTAGCCTTTGTATTAATTATTTAATATTTATTGCACAAATACTTTAATGATCTAGTAACAAAGATTCTAAATATAATTATTCACATGCAGAATAATTCTTCCAAATGTCACCTTCTGAAATAACTGTACATCTTTGGAAAACGTATAGTACAATACATCTTGTAAAAATCAATTCATTTGCAAATATGTTTTATCTCCACTAGACCATATAGAATGAATCATATTAAGAAAATCATTTAATTAAACAGTAAATTTATAAATGATTCGAGGGACTACCATAAGGATTTCTAGTACAACAAAATATTGGTATTTTTAGTCCTACAGAACTAGAAACATTTAACATGGACAATCTTGCATTTGTCTGTTATCATTTATAAGAAAGTATTTTACCAAATGTAATATTAAAGTGGCTTATACCAGCACATGCTTCATGATTACTTCTGCTTGACTTACCCTGCCAGAAGGCACAGCTAATAAATCCATAAATTCCATTTAGAGTTTACTTAGCATTATATTTAAACAGACAGATCTTGCTTGTTGCCTGCACAAACATTCAGGATTTAGATTTTAGCTTCATAGAGAATAGAAGAAATAGATCACTTTGGGCCTAATACTCAACTAACCATCTGTAAATGCTATCTACCATTTAGCCCTTTGCTGGTGAGTGGAAGAATGTGACTGGCAAATATACAGTAGCAAATATGCTCATTTTGGTTTATCAGATTCCAAGTGGCATATTGCCTTGCTTTAGCTAAAAATTAGAAACTATGTATAATCCCATATTTGTGAACAAGCAGATTCATCTTTCCCTTAATGTTTAATTTTTTTCTCAGGCTGTTTGCAACATGTTCACAGTATAATATATCACAAAAAATCAAAATCTGGTTTTCATGTCTCTGGATTGTAGCATTACAAGATGGAAGTTCATTGTGTTTGATCATGCCATTAAGATTTATCCAAATATCTTCCAAAACCTGATTGTTACAAATGGATGGTTCTATTATCCACCATGCTCTATAGAATACATGCAGCTTTAATTTTTTTAAAGTTCTCTGCAATTCTAGAGATAAAGGAAGAATGCTGCCTTTAAGTTTTGAGTTGGGTAGAGAAACACTCCAAGTTCTCCTTAGCTTGTATCTGCCATGTGCTGGTAGCTTTCCCAAATTGGTCAAGTCAGTTTCTCCATGCTCAGTATGTAAAGTCTGTTCAGCTTTTATATTAGGTTGAAATTCCTTAAGCCCTTCTGTACAGTTATAACATAAGGAAGTGTTGCAAATAGTTTCTGAAGTAGCAATATATTGTTTCACTTGTTCTACTTCTCTAACAGAAATAACTGGAGGAGCATTTTTTGGTTTAAGAGGCAGTTTACATAGTGTGTTTGGAAACCAGGGTATGAAGAATGGCAGCTGCCGCCTAGGAAATTTCTTCAAGGCTTCTTCTGCAATGTTTTGCAATGCTGCAGGGTCCTTTTCCCAAACTCGGTAGTGCAGAACCATTTCCATCCTTGTACAATGGGAATCCATGTCTTATTTTAAAAGTTTTCTATATTGCTCAAAAGAATCTTATTCTGTGTGCTGTGTAGCTCAGAACAGGACCTAGAGCAGAAGTAATAAGATACTCTAGCAACTTTACCATCAAATTCACTGAGATTTTGTTAGACAATATTGTATTATTTTAATTTACCATAAATGCATACCGTTGGAAAAATGCCTCCAATGGTATATGACACCATCAGTTTTATTAACAGCTTCTTCACAGTTCTGTTATTGTCATTGAGACCGCAAGAGTTTTTATGATACCGATATGAAACAAGTGAGTTAGAATTATAGCATCTTTTGTTTTCAATGCGACCAAATTTTGATCACATGACCATAGGGATGCTGCAATGGTTGTAAGTGTGAAACATGGTCATAAATCACTTTTCTCAGTGCTGATGGATCGCTAAATGAAAGGTTGTAGATGGAAGATTATCTACATTTGCTTTACAGAACAGAATTACCAAGTTCTTTATTTGAGGTTTCTTTTCCATAATCCCTAAAAAGATAATTTATTAGGAGAACCAACCAAGAAGATACAAAATAGCTGGCTTTATTTTCATAAACTAACCATACTATAATTGCTTATCAGACTTGTTCTTCCTGCATGGCTAAATGAGAATAAGGACCAGGAACCAACTTCTGCCTCGTTTGCAGAAAACTCACAGCCACATAGGAAGCATGATTCTTCCCTCTGATCAAATTGAAGGGAGGGGATGAAACACGTTCAATGAATTGTGCCTCACACACACACCTCCCAATATTTACCAAATCATCCCTGCCACCCTGACCATCCGTCCCGAATAAGGTATCTTAAAAAGTGGGAGGAAGCGCGTTATTTCTGCCCTTGCCGTACAAGAGAAAAACCGATCCCGCTTTTGTAGGATACCGTTTTTCTACCAAGCTTGGGCTTTTTCTCTCTAAACCAGACAGATGAAAATCACGATAAGCACCAGGTGAGGGGAGTAGCTTAATACAAGGAGTCGAAAAACTAGTACCTTTCAAGGCCAAGAGATGTTCTTGTTTGGCTTGAGTCACATCCATTGCCTCAACCACGCCACTTGGGTCTTCCCTCCTTCAGTCAAGATCAGAAGTGAGCCGCCGTCGCATCACTCCCCATCCACCCTATAAAAAGAAAAAAATCCGCCCGCTTCTGGCCCGCTATTTTCCGTCAATAGCGTTTCCCGGAAGACAGGTCACTGCCGTACTTTCTTCCGAAACTACAATTCCCAACGATTCTTGCGATACGTTGCGCGGTTCGCCTTCCGTAGGTTCGAATATATATATATATATATTATATTTTAAATGGCTACCGAGGACAACACGGACTGTCAACATATTGCATTCTGGTAGTTGTGGTTCCGGTGAACTTTGACTGTTTATATGGCGTTCCGTAGCGTACTGAGAAGAAACAGACATGCGTAGTGGTAAGAAACCCATAAGGCCCAAGTTAGACGCCTTTTTTTTTACGTCTCTACAGTAGACCTGCCTCCGTCTCTCTTTAGTGACGTTTTCCCTCCTCCGTCTCCAGGGGGACCTCCGTTGTAGGTCCGTAGTGGAGTCCGCTTTCTCTCGGTCGTTCTCCTTCCATGTCCAAGATGGCAACACTGAGTGTAAACAAAATCGGGTCTGGCTCTGGGATGGATGCCGGGAACAGACACAGCCGAAGTTCGGCGGGGCCTGTTGTGAAGGTGAGGACAGTGAACCTGAGAGGGCGGGCCCTTGATTTTGGCTTCTTCGGGGACCGAGCGACGGAAAACTGAGAGGATCTGTCCCTTTACCCCGCTAGCGCTTCTCTCTGTTCTCTCTCTCTCTCTCGGCATCCCCCAAGAATCACTGGGATTTCTCTGGGCAGATTCTCGTAGGCGGCGTTGGCGCAAAAGGGGGTAGTTCCAATGGCCTGCTTTGCCTAAGCCATCAAATCAGAATTGTTCACATTCTTTCTTCCATCCTGATAAAACGAGTGCTTTAAAGCAGGGCTTTTCAACCTTTTCACCCATTGTACCACTTTTAAGATATGGCAACATCCGAGTACCACCAGTCGCCTAGCAAGGTGTGAAAAACTTGATGACCAAAAAAAAAAAAAAGGAAAAAAGTGATAAAGTACAGGTAGTCCTCGACTTACAACAGTTCGCTTAGTGACTGTTCGAAGTTACAATGGCACTGAAAAAAGTGCCCCCCAAGGCACAGCCGAGCAAGATACCTGCCTGCCTGCCCAGCTGCACTCTTCCTCCTGTCCGAGGTTTTCATTGTTGTGAGCATTTCTGTTGAGGATTGGCAATGGGGGTGGGGTGGGGAGGTGTTTGGTTTTTATTCCCCCATCTGCTGGGTGGTTGCAGCAGGTTTTGGTCACTTCACATGACCCTGGGACACTATGACCGTCATAAATATGAATCAGTTGCCAAGCATCTGAATGTAAATCACCAAACCCTGGAGATGCTGCAATATTCCAGCTGATCGGCGCTTCTTCAGGGCTCAGCAGAAGCGCCAGGATCAGCGCCGAGCTACAGCTGTAGCCTGGTGCTGATCCTGGTGCTTCCGCTGAGCCCTGACAGCCCTGCAGCTCCAGCCATCTCTCGTTTAGGCTTGTGCGGTGCTGCCACCGGTTCAGCTTATTCCCCTCCACCGCTACTTTTCTAGGATGGTCGCGTACCACCTGCCAGGTGCCAATGTACCACAGGTGGTACCCGTACCACTGGTTGAAAAGCCCTGCTTTAAAGTAATAGACTCTCCCACAGATACTTTTATATTTATATTTTTCTCATATGTCTATGGAGATTCTCAGTCATGGTTGTCTCAAAGGTGCATTTTCAGAAGGCAACTGGACTATGTTTTTTTTTCTTTTGAGGAAGAAGACATTTCACTTCTCATCCAAGAAGCTTCATCAGTTCTTCATATTTTCTTCATAGATTGAATAAGGAAAAATGATGAGTATTCTTGCCACCAGGGAAGGATCCTGTGCTTTCAGGATGACATATTGGATACAATTTAAATGAGTGAAACACTTCAGGAAGATGTAGCTATAGTAACATAATCGGCCCTTTTCAGTTTGAATTATTCTTGGCATGTAATTCTTGAAAAAGCCTCTCCCCTCCCAAATGTAGTAAATATAGTCCTTATCTTAAGTCAGTGGTGGCGAACCTATGGCACGGGTGCCAGAGGCGGCACTCAGAGCCTTCTCTGTGGGCACGCACACCGTTGCCCCAGTCCTAGGCCTTCAGCTGGGTTTTATAAAACCTTTTCGCTTTAGGCCTCCGCCGCCGTGTGCAAAAAAAAAAAGGTTCAATCAATCAGTCAATTTCAATTTCTCGCGGGAAAAAAAATCTTGTAAAGTTGGAATTGATTGATTGAACTTTTTAGTCCCACCCAGTCTGCCGTTACCATTGCAGCCACCCCCACACAATGGGCACGCCCAGCCAATGGGCCACGCCCACCCGGCACCCGATGATGCATAAGTGGTTTTGGGTTGCAGTTTGGGCACTCGGTCTCTAAAAGGTTCGCCATCACTGTCTTAAGTCATTGGAACTATGAATATATGAAGAGAGAAAAATCTCCTTAGTAAATTGAGATTTTTCTCTTTGTAGAATAACAATCTTTAAAACCTAGATATTATATCACTCCAAAAGGCAGTAGATTTATATTTCTTTTTTAAAGAAGTCTCTTATTATTTTTTTGGGTTTAAGGGAAAAGTGAACGATTGTCTTTCCTGGAACTAAGCTCCATGTAAAATTGCCTCTGAAAGGACATATGGCTTCTCTCAGTGTAAGGTTGTTGAGAAAGCACTTGAACCAGATCACTTTATATCAGGGGTGTCAAACTGCTGGCCCACGGGCCGGATGCGTCATCGGGAAACCACGCCCACCCCATTGCCGGCAATGGCGAAAAAGCTCCAATACGTTGCGCGACGTCACGAGTTTGACATGTCTGCTTTATATGATATGCTCTAGGATGTGAGCTGTAAACTCTATCACCCAGACTGATTGATGTACAGAATAATTGTTTCAAGCTGAGATTGAATTATATCATCTAAACTAAGAAGAAATTGGTAATGTGTTCATTTCCCACTCTTAATTGCATCTTTAAACCACACAGCTATCCTTAATCATTCAAAATTGACCTTTTTTCCCTTCCATTTAATTATGTCCAATTATCTTCTGTTAATTATAGGTTTTGGAATGTGGAGTCTGTGAAGATGTGTTTTCATTGCAAGGAGACAAAGTTCCCAGACTTCTTTTATGTGGTCATACTGTCTGTCATGACTGTCTTACTCGACTTCCTCTCCATGGCAGAGCAGTTCGGTGTCCTTTTGATCGACAAGTTACTGAACTAGGTAAGGTATTTTTAAACCTTGATACATAGTTAAGATTTTGCTATTTAGTAAGTGGAAGAGTAAGTTGAATTCAACTATTTTATTCAGATATTATATATTCATATGTATGCCGGTGTATATAGTAGCCATAAAAGCCAGCTAGGTGACTTTGGGCCACTCATTCTCTCTCAGTCCAACTCACCTCACAGGGAATATACACACAATAATATACATAGAGAAGCACATGTATGCATAATAAAATCTCCACTTAATAGATAATGTAGGGAAAGTATCTGTGAAATCATTTGTAAGATGAGGACTAACTGTATTGCATGTGCCAAGCTGGGTTAATGAAAAGCCAAGGAGCTTCATTTTTTGCCTATTGTTTGGATCAGAATGAAACGAAGTTTTAGTAAGAATCTAAGATATTAGGCCTATAAGACCTATACAAAGTATATTTTGGTCCAGGATGGGAAAATATGTGATGAAGCATTGATTTCACTACTACTGTTGCTGGTGTGATGAGAAAGAATTGCATTTGAAACAAAGAGGGGATTTAGAATAGGTTCCTAAGAAAACGGGTCTGACTCTCTAGAGAAGTGTTTCTCAGTCTTGACAATTTTAAAATTCCTCAGCCAGCCATGCTGGAAAAAAAATATCCAGATCTTTCACTTGGTTTGTCATTTGTACTTCCTTTTTAAATGTTAAAGCCTCCACCAGTTTTGCTTGTAGATCCAGTGAAACATCTTTTCTAGTAATTCTCTTTCTGCAGTTCCAAATCCACTTTTGATATCATTTCTACTGATAAAATTTGTTCTGAATCTGTCATTATTTGGATAATTAGCATAGAAGGAAAAAAATTCTATAAGTCGTTTTTGTTTTAGCATAAGGGTCGGGAGGTTAATGAGATTGATATGCATTTATTGATTTGTGTTGTCCTCAGTTGCCATTTTTATTATTGTTCATTTGTCTTCATTTGTCCTTCATTTTTAAACCAATGGTAGCCAACTAGAGTTACTATTGCGAGATTGTTGACTATTTGAAGTGATTGATTGATTGATTGATTGATTGATTGATTGAATGAATAATAAATAAATAAATAAATAAATAAATAAATAAATAAATAAATATTTCAGTGAGTGTGGTGATTTTTGTCTTTTTCCCAAATAGGTGATTCTGGTGTCTGGGGATTGAAAAAAAACTTTGCTTTGTTGGAACTCCTGGAGCGATTGCAGAATGGATTGGGTGGTCAGTGTGGAACAATTGAAGAAACTATTGGCCTATCTGGAGAGGTAATAATAATTCATTGTATTTATTTTATTGTCATATTCGGAATGTAAGCAGAATGTATTTATTTTATTGTCATATTCAGAATGTGATGAAATTCTGAGAATTATAGTTCAGCAAAATGTGGATGATCACAAGTTCTTTACCCTGTTTAAATTGAACAAATGGCTTTGGAGGCACATATTTTAAACAAAGCAATCCTGCCCATGTTTTTCTTAAATTAATGTCAGGTACTTTACTCATATATAATTGTTAGAATAGCTAGATCGGTGAGAATGAAGGACAGGATTTTTTTTAGTAATGTCCTCTCAGTTTTTTTCTCTCTGCATCTCTCTACATATAATAAATCTGGTATAGATCTTTAAGAAAGTTTTTGAAAAAAAATTTGACCTGGACTGTCTTAGCTATATTTGTAGGTTCATCTCTAAAAATAAGATATAAACATTTATTTTTTTAAAAAAATAGCTGTTGTTTTCTTTATTTTTAGTGCATCATCCGATGTGATGAAGATGACACTCATGTGGCTTCTGTGTACTGCACTGTTTGTGCTACTCACCTGTGTACAGACTGTTCCCACCTTACACATTCTACAAAAACATTAGCAAAACACAGACGTGTGCCCCTTGCTGATAAGCCACATGAAAAGACGATGTGTTCTCAGCACCAAGTGCATGCCATTGAATTTGTGTGCTTGGAAGAAGGTTGTCAGGCCAATTCTCTTATGTGTTGTGTTTGCAAAGAATACGGAAAACACCAGGGTCATAAAGTAGGTTTCATTCTTGATTTTCATCTGTGTTAATACATGACTGACTGAGTGGGTAATATGTATCTGCATTCCAATAACATCACTTTAAAGCTGTTTGTCTGCAGTAATAGGGTAGGATGTCTACACATGAATGTTTCTAATTTTATTGGAAATGCTGTTTGTATACAGTGCTTACATTTTACTCTCTGTAATATTTTAGAAGCAACTAATCTGTATAAACTTTATGTCCTTTTTCAAACTTCAAGTCAAAATCAGAAAACATTTAAAAAAGTAGTTTTGTTTTTTCAATTTACCATCTCCCTTTTTATTATTTTCAATCTAATGGAATATTGGAAATAATTCATGAAAAGGCTTTGAGATTCTTTCTGTCTCTTGACAGGCTCACACTTCAAAAACTAAATAGAATGAGACCAAACTTGGTTTGGAAGGAGAAAACAATAAAAGATTGAATTGGGAAATACAGGGAAAATTACAGAAGTCATTTCCCCAGTGCAGACATTCAGGAAAGCCAGTTGCTAAAAGCTTGAAAGGTCTCTGGCTGTTCCATTCTAAGCCCCCCCCTCTCTTTGTCCTTCATGATCTAGAGTGGAACATATGCAGCTCCCCCTGTGCTTCCCAGTGTGCCCATATACCCCAAATGTAGCTACAACACAAGGGGAGAACAGAAACACCCAAATACAGAATATAAAAGATATAGATTCCTGTAATGGCCAATGCTGTTAAAGAATTTGGAAAGTATGCTTTCCCATATCTGTTGCATTCTTATGTTTTTGTAGCAGAATGTCCAACATTCTGTTTCCAATTTTATAATGGGCGATAAATGGAATGCAGATCAGAAGAACTTCAGGAAAGGATGTTCATTGTTTTGTTTGTTTGTTTTTCCTTTAGCACAGTATTTTGGAACCAGAAGCAAATCAGATCCGTGCTTCCATTTTAGATATGGCTCACTGTATAAGAACTTTCACAGAAGAAATCTCAGATTATTCTCGGAAACTAGATGGAATTGTACAACAGATAGAAGGAGGAGAACAGATCTTTGAAGATGGTATAGGAATGACCCATACAGAACATGTAAGCAATTTTGTAGTTTCTTCAGTTTATGTATAATCTTTATAATAAATTCATTTCTTAATTTTAGATTTCTTTTGGAAGTACTGATAGGTCACATGCTACAGTATTTACATTTTATGAACTTTTTTGCAATAAATAAATTAACACTAACCATGGCAGACTCACACAAAATTGATAATGTTCTTACAGGAAGTTTTATCTGTAGGATAAAACACATGTCAAGAACATTAAGGAGATGATTGATTGTGGAGAATTTGGAAACATGATAATTAAAAATGTCAGGGATGCAGAGAACTCTTTTAAAACTAGGGCAAAGGCATATTCAGCGGGGGTTTCATTCATATCTTTAAACAAACTTTTAAAAACACCTTTTTGTGCAGAATGAATGGCAGAAAACTATTTTTTTTATTTTTCTGATTTTATTTTGTGCTTATGTGGATCTAATGTTTCAGGATTTTTAACATTGGAGATACAATACATTGTGAAATCTGAAAGTCATGCATTTTGACTTTTGTAATGCTGCTATTCTTATTATTTCATTTTTTCCTCCAAATAATGCAAGATGGTCACATTAAAAATGAATACTCTGTGTATATGATTGAGCTTACATCAGAGAGAAATACTATTCAAAACAAAATTTATTTTAGTATAATCATAATGCCTCTGCAGCCTCTCTGTTTGATTTTATAATTCCACTTCAGGTTCCAGGCACTGCAGAGAATGCTCGGTCCTGTGTCAGAGCCTATTTTTCTGACCTTCACGAGACACTTTGCCGCCAAGAAGAAATGGCACTTAGTGTGGTGGATGCACATGTGCGAGAAAAATTGATCTGGCTTAGGCAACAACAAGAAGATATGACTATCCTGTTGTCACAGGTTTCAACAGCATGTCTTCACTGTGAAAAGACTTTACAGCAGGTAGGGGATCAATATTATAACCAAAATCAGTATTGGGACAGATATGGATATATATGTCTTGAAATGCCAACTCTCAGATACAAATATTGTACAATTTGTAAATAATAAATATTGGACAGATTGTATTAATTCTGTTACAGATTCTTATTGAATTATAACTTGGCTTTACTGAAATACTGACTTCATAAATAGCAGTGGGAGACAGAATCCTCCAGAAAAAAAGCATAACAAAAATGTCAAGGGAACCAACAATGTCATAAGCAACTGGTCGAAGTCAAATTCAGATTAAAACTTGAGTTTCATTCGTGGTTTATTTTTTATTAAAATGTTTGAGACCCCATTTCTGAAAAGTGATATAAATATCTAAGAAAACATATTAGATCTGGCTTTGAGGTATAAGCATCAGTATCTGCGGTACATTACAGTTACGTTGGATGCAAATATATAGATTGTGGTATTTGTGTGATGATCTCATACACATTTTGTCATTTGCCTCTCTGGATTCCATGGGTAAAAGTGTTTATGGAGGATATTAAACTTGATTATTAAACAAACTTTAAACCCTATTGTGTCCAAAATATATAAAATAAGTAAATTAAAACTGACTGGTTTTGTTTTCTGTTTAACCTTTTAGGAATTAGTTAAAATACATTTTTAATATTGATGAGCAATTCACTTGTATTATTTCATCTAAATAAAATATAACTTGTTTTCTTGTTTCTAATGTGATGCTGCTCTGATTTTTAAGAGACAAAAGTTTTTATGGACAATGTCCTGTCTTTGTAGGTTTTTTATATTAATGAGTTATGAAACAGTTGTATTTATTTCTGTTGCAAAATAATTTTAATCTAAATCTGCTAGAATTGAAGCTCCATTTTTTAAATATTTCTTAACCAGTTTTAGAGTGGCATATAGATTTTTTTTACTTTGTTACAGTAATCTAATCCATCAGAAAAATGTATAAATATATACAACAGCATTAAATAATCAAACATAATCTCAAAATGAATAAGCATAGCTGTGAGTTATATGACTTTGGTGATCAAAGTTGGAAAGAAGGGAAGAAGGACTACTTATAAGCAAAGCAATTTCAAAAACTTAGTGTCACTTGAAAGTTTTTTTGATAAAGTGGCCATGAAGAAAAGTCTGATTCAGATGTTGACAAATAATGCATATCAGTAATCTGTTGCTGCAAATCATGACAGATTTCTCCTTCTATGTTGTATAAGTTCTGTGTTATATTAACCCATAAAATTAAATGTTTGGGGAGAGGTTGTATGTTCAGAGGTATTTCAACAATTGAGACACCACCTTCCAAAAACCTTCTGGTCACCTATTGATTGTGACTCACATCTCATTATCACAAGAGTAGATCACTGCAGTGCTCTTTATAATGAATACCTGAATAACTATTCAGAAACTACAGTTGATGCAGAATGCAGCAGCCTGCACAAGTAGGTGAGAGCCACTGCAGCTGTTTAATACTTGAATTTTGATTGCTGCATGGACCTCTGATAGGTTTATAGTAGAATTGAAAGTGGGCTTTAAAGAACTATGTGGTTTGATTTCCAGATGTTCAAGACCACCTTTCTCAAGAGACCTGATTTATTTTATACACATCTTGGCTCTAAGATGCTTAGTTACCAGCATGTGGGAAGTAAGAATAGTATGAGCCCAGAAATCATGCTTTTCTTGTGGAGGTATCTTGTACATTAGCATCCCACCAGATATTTGATCAGCATTTAACTTGGAATTTTTATGTAATTGCATTGTTATTAAGTTGGCTGTAGCATTTGACTGCATTTTTATTGCTGTTCTTGGTGGTTTTTTTAATACCCTAATTTGTAGCTTTGTTAAATATATCATTTTAATTGTATTGTAAACCATTGTTCTATTATTTTCCCTCCTCCTTCATCATCATCTCCTTACCAGGATGAGCAAAAATGAGTTTTCCACTTATTTTAGGTGGGGCTAGGATAGGAATGTAACTGAAATACAACCATTCTGTTGCCAAATGTTGGCAAAATGATTTGGGCCAAAAGTAGGTTAGTGCAAGGACTGTGATTTTACCCATTTTGGTGTAATTTCTCATTCGGTTATATGTTGAGAAGGATAATATTTAGATGATTCTGTGCTTACTACATTAAATTTAGCTTCACTTTTTAGGATGACTGTCGAGTTGTTTTGGCTAAACAGGAAATTACAAGGCTTTTAGAAACATTGCAGAAACAACAACAACAATTTACAGAACTTGCAGACCACATTCAACTTGATGCTAGCATTCCAGTTACTTTTACAAAGGTATAGTTCTTTTAATCTCTAGGTTAAAGATTCAAAACATGAGTTTGGTTCTTATTCTTTTCCCACTAACCATTTGGGCAACTTTGAAATAATCTGCTTTATGGTACAAGAATCTATTTGGGTTAAAACGAAAACTACAGTTAAAAGGTTAATTTGGTTCATGATCTGTAGCTAAAAGTGGAACCTGGAACATTGAGATCCATTCATTCCTTCTGTTTATGTTCTATCCCAGATGGAACAAAGAGCTGTATTTAGTTAAACAGTTATGCTAATGAAAGATTGCACAGCTTTTCATTTGTATAGGCCTGACAGTGGGTTTATTCATTAACTTTAATACCCATTGACCTATCTATTTAAATTAATACCAGAAAGCAAAGTATTAGTTTGATTTCCAGTGTTGTAATATATCAGATATGGAATCTTCAACATTAATCACCTTTTACAAATCATTTTTGTAACATTATATGTTACAAGCTCAGGATAGATAACCTTTTGTGTGGAAGACTTCAGTAGTCGCTGGAGAATTCTTCAGGATAGCACTGAAGGGAAAGGTAATTGTAGTCAGGATCATACACATAAATGCCCAGTTACTTTTCCCTTGGTATAGGTGCATACAGAATTCCACACTCGAGTGGGTTTAAGAATGTTGCACTCTATTCCTTACTTAACAAATGCTTAAATGCATAACTATATGCCCATATATGTATGCATATTCACCCCACCACTACCAAAGTTGTATTTCAGCTTCTTTTCCCTTTTCTAATAAAGATGATTAGTGCCGTAATTTTAAAAATTGTTCATATCTACCACAATCTGAGCACCAAAGCTTAGTATATTTCCAAAACTGGAGATCTGTATAATACTGGTCAATGTTTCTTACTAAACATCAAGTTATTAAGGTCTGAGATGTTGACAAGATATTTAAATTACTTTGTCAATCCTCAATTTATGACTTCTGTAATAAAGGGAATAAAACATTTGACTGACGTGTAAAAATGCCTTTGAATGTTAGCTTCTAAAATGAACAAACCTCTTTTTTCTCTACTGCAGGACAATAGAGTACACATTGGACCAAAAATGGAGATTAGAGTGGTGACCCTTGGATTAGACGGATCAGGCAAAACTACGATTTTATTTAAACTAAAACAAGATGAGTTCATGCAACCCATTCCAACCATAGGTAAGTAACAGAGATTTTAAAAATTGTGATTTTTTTGGGTATGTTTTGTTAGGAATGTATAATTAAAGTTCTTTTACTCCCTTAGGTTTTAATGTTGAGACAGTAGAATATAAAAACCTGAAATTCACTATTTGGGATGTAGGTGGAAAACACAAACTGAGGCCTTTATGGAAACATTATTACCTCAATACACAAGGTAAAAATACAATGCTTTGTGCCTTAATTACTTTAAATATAATTGTATCTCTCATCCAAACATTTGGTAGTAGTTAATGTGAAAATAACTCCGATGGAAATTCATTTAATTTCAAAGTATAAATATTTAAGATGTAGATAACATTTATATTTGTTTGCTTAGAATTTCTGAGGGATTTGCAAAAGTCTCTAAATGACAATGAGATTGTTGTTTAATTAATTTAAAAAATTATACCCCAAATATCCTTCACAGAAATCTATGCAACTTACAGCAAATAATAGTAAAAGCATTTCTCTGAAAAGCAGAAACATAAAAGACAATACAGCAACAACAAAAAACATTAAGAAAGATGATATACTAAAGACCCTCCTCAGAAGGAAGACTTTTCACTTGTGAGGGAGGAAGTAAGAGAGGCCTTCATTGGAATGAAGTTTGAGAATCTGTTCTTATGTGCAATCACTGAAAGACTTTTTCTAGACCCTAATCATGTAGGGCAGCGGTTCTCAACCTATGGGTCGTGACCCCATTTGGCGTCGATCGACCATTTCACGGGGGTTGCCAAGCAAGGCTGTCCGCCATTTTTTTCTCTCTTCCGGCGGGTGCCTTACCTCCCTTGAGCTGGGCCAGCTGGTGGTCGGCCTGCTCCGTCTCTGCCGGCGCAGGGGCGGAACCACGCATGCGCGGTGCTCCTGGGCAGGGAAAGTCCTCGACTTACGACCGGTTGGATAGTCCTCGACTTATGACCGGTTTAGTCCTCGACTTACGACCGGTTTAGTCCTCGACTTACGACCGGTTGGGGGTCGCGGCATTAAAAAGGTTGAGAACCACTGATGTAGGGCATACCAGAAGGGCCTCCAGAAATGATTTTGGTAGACAGGTAGTTTCATGAGGAAGAAGGTAGTCCTTCTTGATCTTATCTTATCTTGATCTTATACCATTCAAGGCTTTGACAGTCATTGTTAATATTTTGCATTGTTTTGAGAATTAAATTAGAATTTAGTACCACTGTTTCATATGTTCCTTATATGGAGTTCCTATGAACAGATGAGCTGCAATATTCTGAACTAAGTATTCCAGTACTTTTCATAAACAGTCCTATATACAGCTGCAATTAGCCATATTACAGTTTCAATTACAAGTAGCCCTTGATTAACAATAGTAACTGGGTATGTAATTTCCATCACTAAGTGATATAGTTGTAAAGCATGGCATAAAATGACCATATTACTTAGCTATGGCAGTTCCAGCAGTCCCGGTTACTGTTGTTAAGTAAAGACTATGGATTGTTAAGTGAAGATCTCATGTGATCCCAATTTCTTACTTCCTGCCTGTTTCCCCATTGATTTTACTTGTAGGAATCTGGCATGTAAGGTTGTAAATTGTGATCATATGACTAAAGAACTCTGTGAGAACTTTGAGAAACAGTTATAACTACCATTCATTCAGCACCATTGCAAATTTGATCACTGAACAAGTGTTGTTAAATGAGGACCATCTGTAACACTTGAAACATTGGGTTTGATCCATGGTTACTTCTCCATGAATTGAAGTTTCTTCTCATGGCTGAACTGGATTTAGCAGCGTCTCCTGTCTCTACTATTGCCACATACACACTGGAATAGGGAAATATAGATATTTTCACTGATTTTTCGTCCTCTTCTTAGTGCTATCTTATTTGGAGCAGATTTTGTTAGATTGGATGAGCAGTTCATTAAAAACCACTTCCTTGCATTCGATTTGTTGGTTCTTCAACTAATAAAGTTTACTTCTGCATAACCCTGAAAGCTATATCTAAAGTTTTCTGGTGTTGCAGAGGCTGCATTTTTGTGTAATATAAGAGTCTGCTTCAAGTAGATGCCAGTTTCGAATTTTGTACTAATCCCTAGCTTTCAAATTGAATTTAAAATTTAATTCCTGATCTCAAAAAATAAAATTTTAGTAGGCTGAAACAAATTCATAACAAATGTAACTGCATAATTGTTCTTTTCTGTAGCCGTGGTCTTTGTCATTGATAGCAGCCATAGAGACAGAGTCAGCGAGGCACACAGTGAACTTGCCAAACTATTAACAGAGAAGGAACTGCGTGATGCTTTGTTACTGATCTTTGCCAACAAACAGGTATTACGGCCCTTTTTTTTCTGTTTCATTTTCATTGTTTTCATTTTGGCAGTTATAAAATGGGAGAAAATACAGAATATATCAAATACTGTTGTAATTTAAATGACAATCCTTAAGAACACATTAGTAAATCAATCAAAATAAAATAAATATTAGATTATTCTATTAAAATAATCTTTTTACCACTATTATTTTATCTGCAGCTTTCATTGAAAACTCAGTCTTCACTTCCATTCCTTCTCTATGTGACTGGCTAATGGAATGCCATCCACAAGAAGGATGACTTTCTGTTTTCCTTCTCTCTCTCTCTCTCTCTTCAGTCCATCAGAAGATAGATTGAGAACAAAATAACTCTTGGGTAGGGCGGAACAAAAAGGAAATTCTGTCCTATGTCCATTTACTGAATACCAAATGCTGGTCCTTGTGTTACTTGTTACATTATTAATAAAAAATTATAAAGGCTGATGTGAACCTATGTTAGCCAGTAATTAGTAGAGCCTAAAAATAAATTTTGCTTTCTAACACTAGTTTTTTGGCCTACCCCTTTGTAGTTATCTGTGTCTGGTTTCTTGGGTTGAGTTTATTTCTTCCAATTATTTCTGCAAATGGTTGGAACTTAAGGCAGGATCTTAGTTGAAAGTTGATTGGAAGGACCTCTCCCTTAGAAAGTATATCACATAATTTGAATGCAGTTATAGAAACTGTAACTATCTCTCTTCCAAGAGTTACAGGTAGGCTGGACTAAGCATTTCTTATTATATGCAATTTGTAGCAATATTTTTATAATAAAAGTTGTGGTCTATCTTTTCTCTCCTGCTCAGTGTCCTAAATGCATTTCCCCTCCCCATTGTGCTACATGTCCAAACTGTAAAAAAATAAACTGTATTCTTAAATAAGAGCATTTACTTTTAAAGTACTATCTATCTGCATACTAATACTATGGGGCTTTCTTTACAGGATGTGCCAGGGGCACTTTCAGTAGAAGAAATCACAGAATTACTGAATCTCCACAAACTTTGCTGTGGTCGTAGCTGGTACATTCAAGGTTGTGATGCCCGAAGTGGCATGGGACTTTACGAAGGACTGGATTGGCTTTCAAGGCATCTGGTAGCTGCAGGTGTACTGGATGTGGCTTAAGAGAGCTAGTAAGCATAAAGATCAGTTATTTATTTATGTGAATTGATATGGTCAGATGTGAACTTCATCTAAACCTGTTACTCCTTAAAAAGGTTTTGTTGGAATGCTAGACTGAAGCACAGTGTAGGTATACTTTGTGTAAATTACAGTAACCAAATAGAGTGATATAACGTATTTGTGGGAAAGGTGCCTTAATTTCTTTTAAAGAAATTTGAACTGAGGATCTTCAGCCTTCCCTATTAAACATCCTTCACTCAGGATTTAGCGTCTATTTAATTTCACTTCTTTCAGTGATGGCCTTGCTGCATCCACTTGTTCTCTCAGATTTGGGTGCATGTATAACCTTTGTTTCACATTACCAACATAGTTTACTACATATTAAAGTGAAGCAGGAATTGAACTGCACAAAAGCTTGGTTCTGGTTAATAGCTCTTGCTCTTAAAACAAAATTCAAGCCCATGTCTATACTACTATACTAATAAAATTTTTCATTTGTGCTATAGCCTTACTATTGCTTTTATTTACTTCTTTTATTCTTATTTTATTCAATTTGCATGTTGCTTTTGTGGGAACTCTTCTCTGATATTAAATTATACATTTTTGCAAATACCATTTAGGTACAATTTCCTATAAGCATAGGATTTTTTATTTGTACCTTGGAAAAGCTGTTGTGCTAATCAGAGACTTACTTATTACTGTTATTATTCTGCAAATGTGGCTTACAAAGTATATATAATGATGCTGCCTCTAAAAATGGCATTAATATAACATACAAGTTCATGTTAATTTTTAGATACATTTAGAAATGTCTAATGTACAAATGTTCCATCTATTCAAAGTTGATATTTAAAGCATTAAGTTTAATATCTGACAGTTTGAAAAGTTATTCTATAAGCTGTTTATCAGGTGAAATTTCTTTACAAATATATTGTGTGCTTTAATTGCACACAATCTGTTGACTTTATAACTTGTTGAAATCATATAGCCTATTTAATTGGTGGTTAATTTTTCATGCACACATTGCTTGTTACTGTGTGCTTTCGATAAGTTATGATTAGCCTTGAAAACGCAGAAAAAATAACAGTAGTGAAATAGGACCTCAACTAATGTAGTTGAGATGAGAAGTTTAAAAACTAATAGTGCAGGTTGTAGCAAAAATTAAATATTCAGCAAACCATTTGTTCAACTCTAGAAAGGACAGGAAAATTTTGCCCAGAAAAAAAAATTGCATTCTAATAAAAATGGAGAGGAAAATGAAGGCGGCCTCTTGAATATTAAAATGATAAGAGTAGCATTTCTCAACTTATTTACAAAGATGTCAAAGTTACACATGCTCGCTGTGAATTGTGGGAAATATACCAGCCCACCCAAATATTATCAGCTTAGATAAGCAGTCCTGTCGGTTTCATTTGCCTTTTCCATTTTATGTAGACTGCTTCTGCCATGTGCCTTTCTTGCTTATTTCTCTCTTCACATTATTTTTCACCAAAATTCTCTGTAGGAATTGGGTTTTTACATCTTTGACAGATTGCTCTTAAATTCCTTGTCATAAAAACTCATGAAGAGCAAGCCCCTATCCACAGATTGTTTGTCTTCCACTTTTCTTATCTCCGTTGGAATGTTGTTGGAGTAAAGAACAGCATTGTCTTACAGAAAAACTACCAGTTAAACATATGGCAGATGTTATTTCAAATTATGTAACAAATACTTCAGAATTTACAATTATCTGCCTAAATTGGTACATGGAAAATAGACTTTCTTTAAAAGACTTAATGTGCCCTTGTCTTAGCATCTTAGCATTTTTTTAGTTGAGATTGCATGCCTGAATCCCTTCTCATTTTCCTGTCACGTTAAACCTTATCAGAATTTGGGAGTTGTGTTATGCTTTGCAGTTCATTCTAATCTGATGATACATGACTATGTCCCTCTTTCCTTTAAGATCAGGTTTGGCTTCTCTTTAATATTTAATTATTCAAAATCTTATTTAGCAGGAAATCTTGGAAAGTTGAAGATCCTTTAGTTTCTATATAGATATGTACAGTGAGGGGAAAATTATTTGATCCCCTGCTGATTTTGTACATTTGCACACTGACAAAGAAATGATCAGTCTATAATTTTAATGGTAGGTTTATTTTAACAGTGAGAGACAGAATAACAACAAACAAAATCCAGAAAAATGCATTTCAAAAAAGTTATAAATTGATTTGCATTTTAATAAGTGAAATAAGTATTTAACCCCTTCACAAAACATGGCTTAGTGCTTGGTGGCAAAAATCCTTGTTGGCAATCACAGAAGCCAGACGTTTCTTGTAGTTGGCCGCCAGGTTTGCACACATCTCAGGAGGGATTTTGTCCCACTCCTCTTTGCAGATCCTCTCCACGTCATTAAGGTTTTGAGGCTGACGTTTGGCAGCTCGAATCTTCAGCTCCCTCCACAGATTTCCTATGGGATTAAGGTCTGGAGACTGGCTAGGCCACTCCAGGACCTTAATGTGCTTCCTCTTGAGCCAATCCTTTGTTGCCTTGGCCGTGTATTGTTGGTGATTGTCATGCTGGAATCCCATCCATGACCCATTTTCAGTGCCCTGGCTGAGGGACGGAGGTTCTCACCCAAGATTTGACGGTACATGGTCCTGTCTATCGTCCCTTTGATGTGGTAAAGTTGTCCTGTCCCCTTAACAGAAAAACACTCCCAAAGCATAATGTTTCCACTTCCACATTTGACGGTGGGGATGGTGTTCTTGGGATCACAGGCAGCATTCCTCCTCCTGTAAACACTGCAAGCTGAGTTGATGTCAAAGAGCTTAATTTTGGTCTCAACTCAGCACAACACTTTCACCCAGTTCTCCTCTGAATCATTCAGATGTTCATTGGCAAACTTCAGACAGGCCTGTACATGTGCTTTCTTGAGCAAGGGGACCTTGCGGGCATTGCAGGATTTCAGTCCTTCACAGCATAGTGTGTTACCAATTGTTTTCTTGGTGACTATGGTCTCGGCTGCCTTGAGATTATTGACAAGATCCTCCCGTTCTCATGATCCTCACTGTTCTCATGATCATTGAAACTCCACAAGGTGAGATCTTGCATGGAGCCCCAGACTGAGGGAGATTGAGTTTTTTTGCGTTTCTTCCATTTGCGAATAATCGCACCAACTGTTGTCGCCTTCTCACCAAGCTGCTTGGTGATGGTCTTGTAGCCTATTCCAGCCTTGTGTAGATTTACAATCTTGTCCCTGACATCCTTGGACAACTCTTTGGTCTTGGCCATGGTGGAGAATTTGGAATCTGATTGATTGATTGCTTCTTTGGACAGGTGTCTTTTATACAGGTGTAACAAGCTGAGTTTAGGAGCATTCCCTTTAAGAGAGCGCTCCTAATCTCACCTCATTACCTTTATAAAAGATACCTGGAAGCCAGAAATCTTGCTGATTGATAGGGGATCAAACACTTATTTCACTCACTAAAATGCAAATCAATTTATAACTTTTTTGAAATGCGTTTTTCTGGATTTTGTTGTTGTTATTCTGTCTCTCGTTGTTAAAATAAACCTACCATTACAATTGTAACCTTTCTTTTTCAGTGGGCAAACGTACAAAATCAGCAGGGCATCAAATAATTTTTTCCCTCACTGTAGGACATGGAAGCACACTATCTCCCTAATGCCACATACTGCACATTTATTTCTACTTTAGTTTGGATTGAGATTTGTTTTCAGATTAAAGTTTCTTTTTTTTACTGTGATTCTATATAGATAATTCTGCATTTCCCCTTGATATTGGTTGGCTTATTGGTAGGGAAAGTTCTATGAATTGGTAATTTTGATCTTTAATATTGTTTAATTCTTTGACTATGTTGTATCATTTTAAAGGTCATGCTTTACCATAGTTAATAATTTCATGTTAATACTTGAATTCATTCATTTTGACATGCACTAACTTTTAAGGTAGAATTAACTTGATAGAGTAACTAGACTAGTTCTAGACTGTAAATTTGGATAATTTTCTGAGAAATCTAGGAGTGCGTATTTGTAATGCCTGCTAATTTTCTTGTTGAAGAGACTCTATTTAGTTTATACATAAATGTTCTGATTCAGAATTCTGATTGCATGCTGCAATCAGTAGTTCTGTGTTTTAAGACTGCAAAGGGTGAAGCTATAGATATAATTATTGATGCTATCCTAAGAAGCAGAATGTCCTTTAGTAGAATGTTTCTTACCAAAGCAATAGTTCTTCCCCAAAAGTCCAGTGACAATTAAAACGGGATTTAGATAGCAAATATGTAAAGATGCCCCATCATCAGTAATAGATGAATCAACGAAAAACCTGTTTATCTCCTTAAGAATGGAGCTGCTGAGAACAAGGAGTCCAGAAGCTGCGTTGAAGTAAGTGGCAGACCTGGGGAAAACAATGAGCAGTGGTGATAGGTTGCCAGAGTCAGAAACCTAAGGAAGAGGAAACTAAGAGTTCCTTCTTAGGCTACTCATTGAATACAGTACATAAAAAAAGTCAGAAGCTGCCATGCATGAAGCTCATTCAGATTGCAAAAGGAGGCATTGTTACTGTTTTCTACTGTGATTGACTTGAGATTTTGCTACTTGCTTCAGTAGTGCATGAGCCGCAGGGAAGGATCAGCCCAGAATTTGGATGCCCAATAATAAGATCCTTGTTGAATGGTATTCCATAGTCCAGAAAGAGCCGAGGTTGCCTACCCCTGCCATAGTCTGTAGACTGTAAGTAATGGAAGTTGCAGTTATTTACAACCCAGTCCTGGCTAAATGCTGTTGCTTTCTCCTACTTCCCAATTAATAACTATTGGCACAAAGTGTGTCTTCCTCTTCAAAATATAATTGCTGAAGTGATTGAATCATGTTGTTATACAGCACAAGCATGTGTTTCTGTGTTGTGCTGTTCAGTGGAGCTTAATCCTAGGTAACTTCCAGGATCATAGTTTTATCAACTTAGTGAAATATCAGTTCATCTTTAAAACATAATCATTTCTGAAACAAGGTCAGTGAAAAATCTTTTAAACTGTAGCCATCGATTTTTTTTTCATATTGTATTGGAAGTAGTAAGTAATGCTGCATATAATTGTTTTAAAAGTAAAAAAAAATGCTACCTATTTGAAATAAAATATTTGCCATTATGTGGTTCCCTCCCTTTGGATGACAGGCATGTTTCAGCATTCTGTAGCGTTTATTCATTAATCGAAACCTTTGATGTATTAAAATAATTGGCTATAGATACCTAAATATTATAAAAGTAGGGGATATTGGTCACAAACATCTCTTACCTGTTTCAACTCCTGTCAAAATACACTGCAAGTTTAGATGTTTGTGTGAAGTAATTTGAAAGGTTTTACTATATTTTAGTGAAGTCAGACTTCTGCTACTGTATTGCTTATTTTATTTCATTTTAATGCTATTAGAGTGCTATTAGAGTGCATGATACCACTTGATATATAGCAGTTCAAAAGACTGAATGTAAATTGTTATATCAGTGGCTTTAAATGCTATCGCTTGCTTCATGTAAAACTGAAGGTGTTGATTTTAGAACAATGTGCAAAAATAATTGTTGGTTAATATTGACAAAAGTTGAGCTCTGCTGCAAATATAGTGTAGTTGTATAAAAGTATTATTTAACTGAAACTCACAAAAGTTACTGTGAATGTAACTATTATAGTCGGAATTCAAGTTTTACCACATTTAGCATCTTCTTGTTTGTACTGTATATAACTTGTTCAAGCAGAAATTAAAACTTGTTTCATACATCATTGACCTTAAATTCTCGTTAGTGTACTAATGCGTGCAAGTTTTTAAAATTGTTTCAGCTGCAAGGAAATTTTTAAGAGCTTCATATAAACTGTTTTAAGAGTGGACTGTATTTGATTAAAGATATCTTTGTAAAATAACTGATACTGTTGAATTTTGATTAAAATTAAATGCAGTGTTCAACAATGATAAAGAAAGGCATCATATGGTATCACATATAAAAATAATAGCATATACAACAATATTCAGTTACAGTTTAGCTTATAACTTTATGTCATGAGTTACTTTCTAATTACAAACAGGAATAAGTCAAAGGAACAGGAGTTATTGTATAAAAATATCCACCTTCTGCAACTATAATAGATGTAAAATAGCTCACAAAAATAAATATTTAACAGTTGTGATAGTGAATCATAGTAATAAAATTATTTCATCAAAACTGTTTCTTTGAAGCTTATTCTTGTCAGAAATGTGAGTCTGTCTGTTTCTCTGTGTGGTTAAACTAATATTTGGTGAATTCTTTTAAAGCAGGTTAAAAATCCCATCATATACAAAGCTGATGTGGCATCTATCTAAATGATAGTGTAAGGGAAATATTCCTAAACTGAATGACTACTGTATATTAAAACTGGCATTTCCCTTTCTAGTTGTCATTAGGTCATCAGAAGTTAAGCAGGATCAGACCTAATTAGTATTTAAATAAAAAAAATCACGAATATGTCCCTATAGACTTGAAATTGAAATTAAAAAAAAAAATCTCAGAAAAAGACAATGACAAACTCTTTCTATATTATTGGTAAGAAAATTTTATGGATGAGTGCCTGAAGTTACCAGAAAGTGCTTGATTCAAAGAGGACATTATTTAATTTTCCAATACTGAGTCCACAATCGAATCATATTCTTTATTATAAAAATAGAAAGGAACAAAAGTCAGCATCAACATAATGAGGAAAAATAAGAGTAAGAAGTTGCTAAAAGAAATCAATAGGTTGTAGAATAATAGTACAACATAAAATAATTATGTTATAATTATTATACTTTTTAAATTACAGAATTTTTACATTGCAGAATTTATTTTTCTTAAATTGATATACAGTATTATCTTTAGTCCCAGATTTTCCTATACTGTACCTATCATCAATGTTTAATGTAATTTCACTTGTAATTTTGGCAATATTTGGAGAGCTTCCGAATAGATTTTACAGGATATTCTGTATAAAACTGTCTAGATTAAATTTAACAGAACTGAACTCAAAATTGTCAATAGCATGATTCAGTCATGTTCTCTTCTTAACTGGCCAGTAGCTAGAGCTTTGTCAGATTTATCCTTAATGGAACACTACCTAACACTCTAAGTCAAAAACCATTGGAACCAAATTTTAATTTATTTAGCATGTATATATACAAGAATCCAATATGCTTTCCACTCACTTCTCATTCTGAACTATAATACTGTAATCTGGTTAGGTTTACAGTGGCATATGAACAGGTCCTGTTTTGTATCTAATATTTGCTTCAGAAAATTAAGAATACTTACTTACGTTGAGCCACTTTTTGGTCTCACCTTTTGAACATGCTTTGAAAATATAGACTTAAACCATTTTCAAGAAATCCCAGCTAATGTCTTCTTTATAACAAGGGTAATATCATTAGCCATAATATTTTTTCTATTAAGTCATTAACTGTACTGGGCTAATTCAAAGATCATAAAAATGCACTAGCTTTTTAGTTTGTCCAATCTTTTCATCCCACAAAATGATATAATGGGTTATAGAAAGGAGAAAGCCGGTACAATAGAACGTTGAATATTGTTACATTTAAAATCCAAATTATCCTCTACCCAATTTAATAAGTTCACAGTGTTATTACTAAGACTGTTTTTTTTAAGTACTGATTTCAGATTTCTCAAAACTATAGTTTGGGCAATTGCATTTACTAACAATCATGTTTGACCCACCAAACATTAGTAAAATATTTTTAATCAGATCTGGAATATTTAATTTTAATTTAATTTTTTTATGAAGTCATCTGCAAGAAGACTATTTCACAAGATGAGATGCTAATAAACAAATTTTGGTAAAATGTTTTGTCCCTAACTGTAGATCATGCCAGTAATAGTAACATAACAATATGAAAATGGAATAGTACGTGCTTCCCATGCTAGCTTAGCCAAGTCATTTAAAAAAGCCTGGAAACCAATTAAAATCCACATATGACATATGTACAGGAAACAAAATATGATCATTTTAATATGGTTGGTTTTTTATCTTTATTAAAAACATAAAAAATATTTTTCAGAGCATTTTGAAGAGATGACTGAAATTTGTTCTGTTTTATACCAGAAATACTTAGATTTCCATATAGCTGAAGTCCCTGAGGTGTTTTTTAAATTAATATTACTATTATTTCACAGTGATATTAATAATGCTTACATCTTCGTAGGGTTTATCTGTTTTGGGATTAACTTTCACATTTGAAATTCTCTGAACAACTTCCATTCCTTTAGTTACTCTTCCAAATACGCTGTGCTTATTATCCAGCCATGGCTGTATGTGGTTGAAATTAGTTGACATGCAAAAATAAACAGAAAAACATTAAAATTGTAAGTAACAATATTGACAAATTGATCTGTAATTGAGGGAATATGCATAAACATAAAAATGCCTTGGCATTCCAAGAGGCATGCATGCAGGCAAATATACATATATCCCAAAATATATAGCAGTGATGGTGAACCTTTTAGAGACCGAGTGCCCAAACTGCAACCCAAACCCCACTTATTTATCATTGGGTGCCGGGTGGGCATGGCCCACTGGGTGGGCGTGGTCACTGGGTGAGCGTGGCTGTGGTGGTCATGGCAGACTGGGTGAGCGTGGCCAGGGTGGCCATGGCCCCCTCGATGTTGCTTGTGGGGAGGGATGCCTGTGGGGACCGGACATGGTTGGGGGAGATTCAGGGGATCTCTGGCAGGTGGGACGGTGGGCAGGAGACTTATCCTGCGGGGTGAGGTGAGGCGAGGCAGGGGGCAGAACAGGGGTGCCATTTCCATTCAGCATTTCTTGCAGATGTCTCATGACCCAAACTAGGTAACATCAGCAGTGCCAGAAGAGAATGGGGTTTGTGGAGTGGAGAAGAAAAGAAGAGGAAGGCGATTGTGGGTTCCTTGGTCCTCTTTGAGCTGTGGCTTTCTTGTTGATGTCTGATGACCCAAACTAGGTAACATCATTAGTTCATTTATTATCCCACTTTGGGCCCTGAAACGTCTGCAAGAAAACCACCACTCTCAGAGATACTCCCCCCCCCCAAGGACCCTTCATTTTAACTTTGAGCCAGAAATATTCTCCTTGATTGGCATTCTGGACCGTCTGAGGGCAGAAGAACCTGCCTGGCAGGACCTCATTCTGCTTTCCCATGGGGCACATCCAGTGGTGGGATTCAAATATGTGAGCAACCAGTTCTCTGTGTGGATGCCGCTTCTGGAAGTCCATTCAAAGGCTGGGCAACAAAAAATTAGCTACCAGTTCTGCCGAATTGGTGCGAACTGGCTGAATCCCACCACTGGGCACATCCCAATGTCCCCATCCTTCCTCCACCATTTCCTGGACCCTAAAGATCAATGAAGTTTCTCTCAACCATCAGCACCTGCATTCCTGGTTCTTCCGAGCTGCTCCATCACCTCTAGCTTTGCCTACCTCTCGGGGCTTCACCTGGACGTGGCACCACCACCCCCATTCGTGGATCGGGATGTTCCTCCAAAGGCTAACTGCATCCTCCCTCCCAGCGGCTCCCCCAATCTTTCATCTCCTCAGCTCCACACAACTCCTCACAACGCCAAAATAACCTTCCAGGAACAAATTCTCCTCTTTTTCTCGCTCACCCCGGCCGCCCCTCACAAGTACCTCGCCCTTCGCCCACTCCCCTCAGACCCATAACCAGTGCCCCATTCCAGCAGCCCACTCTAACTGCCGGTGGGGCTGGGTCCCTCGGCGATGGTGGGGGTGATGTTGAGGGCCGGTGGTACCCGTTTCTTTTTGGCCGGCATGGCAGCGGCAGCAGTGGCGGAGGCTGGGTCTTGCGTTCCGTAGCGCCTACCGAGGGACCCGCCTCAAAAGAAGCAGCAGTAGTGGCATCGTCATTACCAGGCTTGGCTGCCCTAAGCGAGGCCGAGGCTGCAAGCCAGGCCTAAACCTTTCAGCCCGGCCCTGAGGTAAAAACGCGAATAGGCGAGAGGAAAGTCTGATGGAACTTTTTTTTTTTTTAACCGATAGTCCCACAAACACGCGACGAAGGCTGAGAAGCAAGAATACAGCTGAAAGGCAGGTTAGTAAAAAAAAAAATGCTTTGGGGAGGTGGGGGCGGCGGCGGCAAGCTTACCCTGCGCAGGTATTGATGCAGGTTACTCATGGATGGGACTGAAGGCCTAGGACTGGGGCGACGGCACACGTGCCCACAGAGAGGGCTCTGCATGCCACCTGTGGCACGCGTGCCATAAGTTCGCCATCACGGCTATATAGGAATCATGTACCAAGAAAAAATTCTACTTAGTAGTTTATGTTTCTTTTCTAAATGGGTAGCAGGACAGAGGAAAAAATAAATATGCCACTTTATGTTAAGGGAAATGATTGATTTTATTAACATGGATTCTATTTCTACTTATGATTTCAATGGCCACATAAAACAGGCAACAATTCAATATAATACAATTATTTCACAAACAAATGTGAAAAAAATGCAACTGCTACTTAGGCCACAGGCATCTCCAGATCTGACTCAATTCCAATCTTAAATTCTATGGAGAAATGCTTAGATTTCTTGTTGCTTTCATTTACCAGTAAACAGCAAATCTACGTTTCAGTGGTTAGATTTTTCCTATTAAAGTCTGAGGAAAACTGTCAGGACTGCACCTTAATCACACTTAGCAGATAAAATACAATTAAACTTTCTTAAAATTCCTGTTCAGATCCTCAACTATCTTAATCCTTCTTGTCACTCACACAGCTGTTTTCATTTCAGCTAGATTAAGGGTGAGCAATGAGGCCTCAGGGCCACATGCAGCTCTCAAGTCCCTTTTCTGTGATCCTCAAAGAGCCAGCAAAAATGCTGGCAAAGTTGGGATGTCCCAAAGCTGCTTTTTTCAAAAAGCAATTGGACTTTCCTGGGGTTTTTTTTTTTTTTGAAGAAGCTTTTTGGATGAGAAGCAAAATATTTTCAAAGAAAAACCCAAGAAAGTCCAGTTGCCTTTCAGAAAAAGCACCTTTGGGAAAACCATGACCTGGATGATTGAGAATTTCCACTGACATTTATTCTTGAGATGCAACAAAGTAACCCTTAATGTAAGGATAATTAGAAAATAAAATCCTGCCTCTAATCACTTTGCAAAATCACACTGCTCATGGCAGCCTTTCATTCCACAAAACATAATCTTCTGACTAACTGACAAACAGATGATATGTTACTTACTGTTGGTACTACTGTTACAAAGAATTGTGAGCCATTGGTGTTTGGTCCTGCATTGGCCATACTAAGAGTATATGGCCTATCATGTCGTAAAGTTGCGTGGAACTCATCTTCAAATTCTCCACCCCAGATGCTTTCACCTCCCATGCCAGTGCCAGTAGGATCACCAGTCTGAATCATAAAACCCTGCATTGAGCAAAAAATATGATCTTAAGTTAACATTACCATTTTAATAATGTAATTAATAGCAGTCCTAGTGCCGCAGTTTAATGCCTATTCTTCACCAACTTGAACACCCTACTGATTAATAAGATCTCCCTGAGAAATTCTCAAGCAGAAAAAATAGGATTGAATCACTCTTTTGAGACCTAAGCAGTTGGCATTCAGGGGAAGTACCATGATTACTAAGTGAGTGATATAACCTCTATAAAATCTCTCCAAATACTATGCTCTAGAGCAGGGGTAGGCAACCTTGGCTCTTTTATGACTTGTGGACTTCAACTCCCAGAATTCCTGAGTCAGCATGGCTGGTTCAAGAATTCTGGGTATTGAAGTCCATAAGTCATAAAAGAGCCAGGGTTGCCTACCCCTGCTCTAGAGTTAACCACACATTGTCACTTAAATTTCACAACTATACAATTTCATAAAAAATATGTCTTTTAAGCCAATGTTTCTCAAACTCTGAAAGTTTAACATGTGGACTTTTAACTCCCAGAATTCCCCAACCAGCATAGTAAGAAATTCTGGGAGTTGACGTTCATATATTTTTAAACTTGCAGAGTCTGAGAAACACTGTTTTAAGCAATCCTGGTTATATTATCATTAATATAAAATATAACATTGAAAGAAGGAAAATATGCTTTGTTTCCCTCATAGCAAGAATACTTTAATTCCCTAATACAATATGTTATCTGTTAAGTATATTTCTAAACTAACTATACCAAATACTTTTGAGAGAGAATATATGTAGCTCAGGGCTTAACTGTGGAATCCTTGGTGCTCTCTGAGCTTGAGTGTTTGCTTGCAGAAGTTTCATCACCCAACTAGGCACTATCATCAGTGCCAGCCAGTGTGGGATATAGCAGAGACTGTAATGCAGCATCTAGAAACCATAGATACCACTCCCACACATACAACCGACAGAATGGATCCAGTATGCAGATGACACTTTTGTTGTAATAAAAAAGCGAGTTAGGGAAAACATATGAAGCAACATCTTCAAAGGAATAACATTCACAAGGCAAGTAGAAAACAATACACTACACTTCCTTTATATCCTCCTCATCAGAAGAAACTACAGCAAAATAGAAATATAAGTCTATTGAAAAATACCCTAACCTCCCACAAGTGGAGCTGTGTAACAATAAAGAAGTGTCTGACCACTTGACCTACTGCAGCACAACAACACAAGCTATGAAAAGAATAATTACCATACATCAAAAACATCTAAAAAATTACAACTATGCAGCAACACTGTAGAACAGGGTTTCCCAACCTCTGGGCTGCAGCCCACTACCAGGCAGTGGTCTATTCAGAACTGGGCCATGTGGATGGCTGGCCGTAACGCACATGCAACTCAACNTGGAGCATTCACCGCTTCTGGAGGCAGGTTGTTCCACTGGTTAATTGTTCTCACTGTCAGGAAGTTTCTCCTTAGTTCTAGATTGCTTCTCTCCTTGATCAGTTTCCACCCGTTGCTTCTTGTCCTGCCTTCAGGCGCTTTGGAGAATAGCTTGACTCCCTCTTCTTTATGGCAACCCCTGAGATATTGGAACACTGCTATCATGTCCCCCCTCGTCCTTCTCTTCATTAAACTAGACATACCCAATTCCAGCAGCCGTTCCTTATATCCTTTAGCCTCCAGTCCCCTAATCATCTTTGTTGCTCTTCTCTGTACTCTTTCTAAAGTCTCAACATCTTTTTTACATTGTGGTGACTTCAACTCCCAGAATTCCTGAGTCAGCATGGCTGGTTCAAGAATTCTGGGTATTGAAGTCCACAAGTCATAAAAGAGCCATGGTTGCCTACCCCTGCTCTAGAGTTAACCACATATTATCACTTAAATTTCACAACTATACAATTTCATAAAAAATATGTCTTTTAAGCCAATGTTTCTCAAACTCTGAAAGTTTAACATGTGGACTTTTAACTCCCAGAATTCCCCAACCAGCATAGTAGGAAATTCTGGGAGTTGACGTTCATATATTTTTAAACTTGCAGAGTCTGAGAAACACTGTTTTAAGCAATCCTGGATATATTATCATTAATATAAAATATAACATTGAAAGAAGGAAAATATGCTTTGTTTCCCTCATAGCAAGAATACTTTAATTCCCTAATACAATATATCTGTTAAGTATATTTCTAAACTAACTATACCAAATACTTTTGAGAGAGAATATATGTAGCTCAGGGCTTAACTGTGGAATCCTTGGTGCTCTTTGAGCTTGAGTGTTTGCTTGCAGAAGTTTCATCACCCAACTAGGCACTATCATCAGTGCCAGCCAGTGTGGGATATAGCAGAGACTGTAATGCAGCATCTAGAAACCATAGATACCACTCCCACACATACAACCGACAGAATGGATCCAGTATGCAGATGACACTTTTGTTGTAATAAAAAAGTGAGTTAGGGAAGACATATGAAGCAACATCTTCAAAGGAATAACATTCACAAGGCAAGTAGAAAACAATACACTACACTTCCTTTATATCCTCCTCATCAGAAGAAACTACAGCAAAATAGAAATATAAGTCTATTGAAAAATACCCTAACCTCCCACAAGTGGAGCTGTGTAACAATAAAGAAGTGTCTGACCGCTTGACCTACTGCAGCACAACAACACAAGCTATGAAAAGAATAATTACCATACATCAAAAACATCTAAAAAATTACAACTATGCAGCAACACTGTAGAACAGGGTTTCCCAACCTCTGGGCTGCAGCCCACTACCAGGCAGTGGTCTATTCAGAACTGGGCCATGTGGATGGCTGGCCGTAACGCACATGCAACTCAACTTGTGCGAGAGTTGGGCCAGCCGGCAATTGCACCTACCTGCTGCTTCAGCAAGGGCTGAATGCCTGTGCATGCTGGCCAGTCACTCACGCAGCCCAGTTCTCCTCCATCTCAGCCAGGCCGCTAAGCTGCAACGGTTGGGGACTGTTGCTGTAGTACATAAACCCTCAAAGACATCTTAAGTAAATCAAAAGACTCAGTAGCCCAACAAGAAAAAACAGGACTCATACAGTGTAAGGACTGTAATGCTATGTAGGGCAGACAACGGAAGACTACCAGAGCACATTTATAACACCAACTAGCAGTCAAAAGATGTGATGAAAACTTAATCTCACAATCTATGGAGAGACTAACCATATTTCAACTGGGAAACTGAGTCTCCTAGAACCAGCTAAATCCAAAAACCTAGGGAATTGCCAGAAGCCTAGCATCCAGATAAATCAGTCAGCAAATCTGCCATCATAGAAATAAAACATATTTACATCCGTTTGAAAGAGACAATAATAAAGCTAAGAAGAAAACAAAAATTCAGAAAGCATCCTCTCAAGCTGCTAGCACCCAGATATGCAAGGGCTAATACTAGACAAATAATCAAGCAGAAAACAGTACCCCAATTAGGAGTACCAAGGGAAAAAACCCATACCTCCATCAAGTAAGTTACTATATATAAACAGAGAGCAAATCCTGCATCACTTGCAATGAAGATGTTATCCAGTTGAGTAATGAAATGGCTTCAAGCAAACAACCAAGCTCAGAGAGAACTAAAGGCCTGCATAGACATTTAACCTGTGCACAAATATATAACTTAAAATTGTTTCAATGTTTCATTGCATGGGTAACACAGAATCAATGATGGAGCTTTTTAAAAATGTATTTGTAAAAAAATAATTATCTCTTTAGCTAACAACTTGGTTCCCAAATTGAACACATCATAAAACAAAAACAACATATCAACATGATAGAAACAATGTACGAATATTTTAAATGGATTTTTCCTGTAACTTAAAAAATTGGCAGAGATTTATTTCAGAAAGACAAAACTCACATGAAGTGTAAAGGGCCATATTTAACTAGATAAATCAAAGCTACAGCAACTTTGCTAATGTAAATAAAAGCATCTCAACTTGGCTATTTCACTGAACCAAGAATATGAAAGTATATTATAAATGCTGAAAAGGATGAATAGCCATCAATTACCTTTATGATCCGGTGAAAGGTATGGCCATTATAGTAACCATTCCTACTGTGTACACAGAAGTTTTCTACTGTTTTGGGGCATCTGCAGTCAAGAGAGTTTTCCAGTTAATACAATGTTTAGTAAAGTGTGGCAACCCAATGTTTTCACTTAGACATAAGAAGGGCCCTATTGAGCCAATCTAATGTAGGATTTTTTTTTCTTACAGTGACTAATGCAATGTTAGTGGAAAATCTGTAAACAGAACAGGAATGCAGTACCAACTCTTAATTTCTCAAAACTGATAGTCAGGGGCAATGCAATATCAGAGTCATCTTCATAACTAATATTTTCCTACATTAATGAGTTTAAAACCTTATTCTGTAAATTTGTGTGTAATGAATAAGGGGAAATCAAATGCTAGAGAACCAGTGAGAAAAGGGAAAACTCATCCGCAGGTGGGATTTTTAGAAAAGGGTCCAGCTCTATTTTGTTTTTTTTGTCTTTTGCCTTTTTCTCTCATAAGGGGATTAAGAGCATGTCTTCCTGGACTGTTTTAAAGTCAGATAAATCAGCTTTTACAATCCCAGGTTAAAATGAGGATCAGAATTTTATTTTCTGGAAGATGAATTATATCTGGGTGTCTTTGTTATACATTGTTCTATTTCATTCTGTCTTCTCTGTGTGTGTGTGCATGCATGAATGCATGCATCAAGTGCATATTTCTGAATGAAGGAAGAGCAACTGGAGATAATTACTGCATTCATTTTTTCCATTTTTCCTCTCATCTTTCCATTTCCATCTAATGATCCACCCAATACATACATTCTTATGGCACACCAGAAAACAGCTGTGGGGCTAGAACAAAGGAACTAAAAACATCTCAACATATATCCACTATGTTGGTGAAGGGTCCAACAATAAATTTAAAGTAGTTTTTATATACATACTCAACAGGAAACAGCTTCACATGAATGTCTCCCATGCTTGTATGGATAATGGCACTGTCAGAAACTCTTTTGGGCCCTTCAGCTTGAGTGGCTGCCATGACTTCTTCTTTAGATGGTTTCTCATTGAACACGTCTCTATCAGAATCTGCACTCTTGGTATCTTCTGGTTCACGTTTAGTAAACTGAAAGACAAGACAGTTGAATGCTCTCATTTCAGTTTGCTTGGAGTTATAGTGCAGCAAGATTCCTGGTATAAAATGCTATAGCTACAAATCTAAAAATGGCAAACTGTTGTGAATTTACAATATTATACTCTTGTTCTAAAAAAGCTGTACAAACAATTTGCTACTGAGTCCATTTCTACATGCTGGATTTGGGATGTAAAGCTTTACAATGATTGGGATCTAAATATCTGATGGATTGATTTCTGTCCTCTATAACATTAAGAACTGTTAGCTAGATATATTTGGTGTCACATTTGCAAGAAATTTACTATGTGAAAACTCAAATGTAAAGAAATACATAAACTTAAAAAAGGACTGCATCCTTGAAGATAGCAATAGCTAATTGCTTCCATAACACCATCAAGAAAAGTGCATGAATGCAGTCATCAGAAGTCAGTTTTAAGTACACCTTAACTTTTAATAAAATATGGTTATTCTTGGTTTAAGAGAACATAGAACATATTACTGACATGACAAGCTCTTTGAATCTAGTGCAACTGTGTATGAAAATAGCTAGTTCACTAGCTATAATGTCACCTAGAGTATCTAGCCCTAAGGAAACTCATAATTCAACATGGATGCATATACAAAAGTTGGAATTGGAACCATATCTTTAAGTACATAAGAAAAGACATACTATTTTGGGGGGTAATTGCTAATTCATTTGGAAGCTGTTTAGGTTTGAACAAGACAATACAGGTTGAAACAGAATGAAGATGAAGATTGATTTTGGAGAGCGTCTGGCATATAGCTACGATTGTGTTGTGTGTTGTTCTTTGTTGTATCAGGTAACTTTATCAATATGTAGAGGCAATTTGGTGTAGTGGTTAAGATACCAGGCTAGAAATCAGAAGATTGTGATTTTTAGTCCCACATTAGACATAAAGCATGACTATAGACTAGTTGCTCCCTCTCAGCCCTAGGAAGAAAGCAACACAAACTACTTCTGAAAACGTTGCCAAGAAAATCATGAGGACTTGTCTAAACAATCACCAGGAGTGAACATGGATTTGAGAATACAAGACAATGCTTATATTGTTGTATTTATGTTGTTAAGTCTCGGCTTTCCTTAGCAATTACAGCAACACATAAAGCAATACATTAAAAAAATAAAACATACCACATAAAATCTATTCTTTTTAAAGGCAGTACAGATTATTGTTGGATCTGCTTGGATGTTCTGGAGAACTGGATTGTCAGATGCTTTCATTTCAACGGTAACAGCAGCACGATGTTTCTTTGCCACTCCCTGGAACAGAGCCAGTTGCATAACTCTGATATTCTCCTGTTTACCTAGGATTCTCACACATCTATATTTAGAAAGTAAAATCTAGGATCACCATTAAGTTTCTAATTCATCATGCAATCTTTACTCTCAAATCGACAACATAACGCAAAATACTGCTTTAACTGAGGCCTGGCAGGAAGGCTGTGTTGTGGGTCCCATTCATGAAGGAATTCACCTGACAGCACCCAGGAGGGGAGAGCCTTTCTGTAGGGGCACCTACAATGCCTAGGTATCCAGTAATGTGAGTATGGAATCTGTAAGATGGTATATTGGTAGGGAAACTGACTGCACTTTTCTGCAAATTATATTTATGGTTTCAGTGGTTTTATTGCTTTTAATATTTTAATACTCTATGTTCTTTGTTCTGCTATTCTTTAATAATTTCTTCACCGCCCAGACTAATGTATGTCAGATGGGTGGCTATATAAATTTATCTAATAAATAAATAAATATTTCATAGTGTTCAGTGTCCTTTGAATACATATAGCACAAATGAAAATCACAGTCTGATCTGGTATCCATTTTGCCCCACGAATCTGTTTCTTCACTACCTGCCCTCCCTCCAGCCTCTTCACATCGGATCCCCGAACCACTGACGCATACCTACACACCGACAGGTTTTATTTTGTTTGTTTTTGGAAGAATGAGAAGTGCAAGTCACCCTCCCCCATAAAAATCTAAAAGAATTATACAAATACCCCCCACCATTTTTCTGTAATTAAATTATGATTATCATATAATTAGATAGATATAATTCAGGTTTTAATTTTTGTGACTTTCAATTCATATATTTTGACTTCAAAATATTCTATGGAATGCAAGTGACCAAATAAAGAGCATTTATGAGCAAATTATTATATGGTTCTTTCGATAATATGGCAAGGACTTGGTTCTAATTTTAGCAATAGTTCTATTGCATTTTCTTCATTAAGGATTACCAGACATATCTGGAAAATTTGGGATGGAAATGTAATTTCTAACTTTATTCATAAGACAAACATACATAAAATCCCAGTCTGAAAATTACAAATTCATCTCTTTTCTAAGTCTTGGGCATATAGAAATATTAATATTTATTAATTTTCAATCTATGGAATTACTGCAAGAGGAATCTGATTACCTAAAAGCCCCCGACAGCAACTGTTTTATTCAGTTAATCTTTTGATTTTAAAATTTGATCCAATGCATTTGTACATCTAAAACTCCCAAATCACTGATGTGAATACACTTTGTAAGTGAAAGTACCTTATAGCCATATAGATATATATGAACTAAGGATTTATCAAGCAGGAGACACAGCAAAATACTACTCTTTAATGCTAGACAGTGCAACTGAGTTATAAACAAATCTTAAATAACTTAAGTCATGATCTATGATCACTTTGTGTTTATTAACCTGCTCTTTATCAATGTAATGAAAAGACTGATGTTATTCCAAAAGGTCAAGGTTTTTTAATAATAAATATTTAAAAACTTGGCTGAATAACTTTTTAACATGATATGCTTCCATTTTTTTCTATTTTCTGTTGTGTTTTTGTTCTTGTTTAGTTTTTTTACTATATCCTAAAGTAATTATTTCAAATGTATATATTTATGTTTGATAAGTCAACTTTCTCCAAAATTCTGATTTGCAATGTTTATGTGAGGCAATTTTTATATCAAACACAAATGTGAAACTGTTAAATAAAATAGGAATGCTAAGATTGAATGCTTTAAGATCTCTTGAAAAATTTCATAACATTACAAAATCATGCTAGTTACAATAACCAGAATTTCAACTTACCGATTTGTTTCCACGTTGATAACTTTAATTCCTAACATTGTCCCATAGAGCACAAAATGTCCAGTTTCATCAAAAATAATGTTAATTAACCTTACAGCATCCACCTTTTCCAATTCCCTCTCCACAGCCATACGTCGTCCAAATTCCATATCAGGTAGTTGCTGTCTCATCTGCTGTAGCTCAGTAAACATCTACAAGATGACATTTAGCCATAAGGAAAAGATAACTACCTGAGCCTTATTATATTATCCATTTTATTAATGCCTAACACCATCGAGGATATTGTATTGTTTACATCAATACTACAATAAAATGATTCAAAATTAATATAATTAAACAAGCTTTAATTATTATATATAACTGTTAATTCAATGCTGTCAATTCATTTATTCATTGCCATTAACTGCATGCCCAAACTGCCCTTGAAGCAGAAAATTTCAGTATGAGAGATAATATACATACATTTTATATTAAAAAAAATAAATATAGAATTATTTAATGTGAGACTTTTCATAACTGCATAATACGTGAGGCCCAGGGGGAAGCTTCATCCTCTTGTTTCTCAGTAGTGGCACCTACTTCATTAAACTAGCCTTCAAACTGAAGTCCAAATTGCTCCATTAGGCTTGAGTTTTAAGAAAGCATCATCAGTATGCTTATTACTATCATAGTAATAGCACTGTAACAGAACTGTTTTATTTTAATAATTTCTGGAGGGAGTTGACAGTTGGTAAAATTACTATTTTTATATTAGTTGTAATTTTTTTTTGTATCTTGCTATGTATTAGCTCATAGACTGAACTATGTTAGCTTAGTTAATCAAAGAATTAAAGCTGTCTTGCGGGGGGGGGGGGAATCCCTTAGAAAATAAATTAATCTTTTAAAGAAATTCTTTGCATAGATTTTGCATTGAGCTATGGGCTGGATTAAATGCCCGCTAAGATTAGATCTAACTCAATGATTTTATAATCTAAACTTTCTGTAAAGTTTGTTCCAAAGTGTTAAATATAATAGCATCAACTGTTAGAATCTTTCCTGCACTCTAGTAATCCACACACTTCAAAAGTATGAAAAAGTATAGAAAAAGAAAACAGCCAAATGGTGGCATTTTCTTATTGACATACCAGTAATACAAAAATACTACAGCCTAAACATGAAAATGAAAATTCATTTCTTACAAAAGAATTCTTATAATTAAAATATCAATAACCTCATCACTGAAAGAATTAAAAGAAACTATTGGAAAGTAAATAAATATAAGAAAAAAAATACTTACACTCAAAGATTCATCAAAGATTCGCATAAGTTTCCCTGTTAAGAATCTGAAAATCCGGACTTTTCTGTCAGAGCCAATAGTAGCCATTTTTTTGCCATCAGGGGAAAAACTCATACTGGTTAGATAGGCTTTACATTTAGCAAATTCATATAAATCGGTGTCTGTTTTATACTCCCAGTTCACATTTTTAGGAAATTTATATTCATGAGAAGGACCAGTCCAATATTCAATCATTCCAGACTTGTCAGAAGATACTATGATTTTAAAAACAGAATTCAGTTGTATCTGAGTAAGAGGGGATGTATGTAGTTTATCAAAAACATGAAGTGGCTGGTTATTGCCTCGACCATCATATATAAATATTTTTCCAGTACTCTTCTCAGAGGCTGCAACTGAAGAGATAGCATCTCCTGGGCAGTAGACCCATTCACACTGGCCCGGATGATAGCTAAAATGAGATGAACATAATATTAATATTTTTAACATTCCAAAATAAATGTTAAAAGCTATAAGGATCAAAGGTATAGAAAAATTAATGTATTTCTAAAGTACAACACACTACAGCCTCATTAGTAATAATATTTATGAGTTATTAAAGCATTCAATGTATATCCTGCTATTCATTTTATCCTTATAGCAGTCCAACTCTGGATATATTCAAAAGTGCTGGCAAGGTCACCAAAGTAAGCATCTTTGATTTTGATGGTCATTGTTTTCTAAAATGCACAACTATGTATAACTCTTTCCCTTCCATTGGCAGAAGCATGCAAGTGATTAAACCTACCTTAATGCTTTGGTTACCATAAATGACTAATTAAATCCATAATAATATATTGCCTCTGATTTTATGCAATCTGTCTTGAAATACACTGAAAAAAGTTAATTTATCAATCATCACTTCGTCAATTTTAATGACATTTTAGGCAAATATAAAACACTTGGCAATCAAACCAGTATAGTTGCAAATATTAAGTGATTTACCCAAGTTTCAACATGTTGATCATGTCAAAGTTCACCACATCAAAAACTTTCATTGCTTTATCATCCCCAACAGAGCAAAACAGCGCTCCTTCTGAGCTAGTTGCAATGCCTTCGATAACACCTATTGTGGATAAACCAAAACAAAGAAAGTATTCTCTAGCAAAAAAACCAAAAAACATTCATTTGAGAAAATGTTTGAATAAACTCACATAAATGATTAAAAGTAAGTTTTATCATAAACATTCAAAGATGGTTATGACTCTATAAAAAACTATCTCAGAACTCTTCCTATTAAATTTTTGAATAGATCTGTGTAGGATATTGCTGTATGGCAGATATCCAAAGATCACAATATATGGAGACCTGAGGGCTACTTAAATTTTCTGATATCACAGCATGGCTTCAACTACAGTCCTGAAAAGCCAGTTTTCAGAATTTTTATGATTCTGAGACATTCAAAAGAAAATTCTCAGAGGTCTGTATTTTGCAGAATGAAATCTTTCCAATGTCTACAGAGATTCTCAGTCATCCAGGACATAGTTATACCAAAGGTGCTTTTTCATGAGGCAACTGGACTTTGTTTTTCTTTGAACACATTTCACTTCTCATCCAAGAAGCTTCTTCAGCTCTGAAGAAATCCCTTAGAACAGAGGTCCCCAATCTTTTGGGCACCAGGGACCAGTTCTATGGAGATAGGTTTTTCCACAGACCGGAGGGTGTGTGGTTTTGTGTGCTGCCTGCATCTCGCAGATGGGGCTTTGCTTGTTTGTGGGGCCCAGTTGCTAGCATGCCGCCGCCTGGTACTGGTCCATGGACCAGGGGTTGGGAACCCCTGCCTTAGAAAATAGGAAAGTCCAGTTGCCTCGTGCAAAAGCACCTTTGGGATAATCTTTCCAATCCCTTACTAGAATTGCCATATTAATTTTTGCCTGCTTCTGCTGAGTAATGTAAATCAAGGGACAGTTATCTAACAAAAAGCTTAAAGTTAGTTAACACTGAAACATATCTCTATAGTAACAATTTAATATAGCAAATTTATATTTAATAGGGCGAGAACACAGAAAAAAAGAAAGAAAAATAGGCAGTATAAAAATTATAGTATGCAGATACACAATAATTTACCTAAATGGCTACGAAAATGTTTAACAAATTCAATTCCTTCTTCTACCTTCTTCCAGAATTTAACATGTCCATCATGGCTGGCTGTTATTATGAAATCTGTTCTGCAAATACAATGATATAAAAGAAATAAAGGCCTAGAAGATCTAAAGATTCTAATGTACTAAAAGGTGTTGTACTTCCCTAGTTTTACACACTGATGTTTAAGACACGTTTCAGATCTTACTATGATAAAACTGTAAAACCTGAGCAAGGATCTTCTAGAACAAAAATGAAGGAGTTCAAGGTACCATGCTGAATTTTGAAGGAAGCCTTGCCATTTTACACCAAACATCCCAAGATCATTAATTCTTTCAGAATATGTCACACAATTTGGATTAAGCCTTTTACTGAGTTTGGAACTCTGGATTATGATGTGGATTTACCCCAAGTAAGTACTCTAGAGCAGGGCTTTTCAACCTTTTCATCCATTGTACCACTTTTAGGATATGGCAATATCCGAGTACCACCAGTCGCCTAGCAAGGTCTCAAAAACTTGATGAGCCCCCCCAAAAGGAAAAAAGTGATAAAGTATAGGTAGTCCTCGACTTACAACAGTTCGCTTAGTGACTGTTCGAAGTTACAATGGCACTGAAAAAAGTGCCCCCCAAGGCTCAGCCGAGCAAGACACCTGCCTGCCCACCCGGCGGTGCTCTTCCTCCTGTCCGAGGTTTTCATTGTTGTGAGCTGCCAATCCTCTGTTGAGGATTGGCAGCGGGGGTGGGGTGGGGGGTGTTTGGTTTTTATTCCCCCATCTGCTGGGTGGCTGCAGCAGGTTTTGGTCATTTCACATGACCCTGGGACACTGTGACCGTCATAAATATGAATCAGTTGCCAAGCATCTGAATATAAATCACAAGACCCTGGAGAGGCTGCAACATTCCAGCTGATCGGCACTTCTTCTTGGCTCAGCAGAAGCGCCAGGATCAGCGCTGAGCTCCAGCTGGAGCCTGGCGCTGATCCTGGCGCTTCCACTGAGCCCTGACAGCCCTGCAGCTCCAGCCATCTCTCGCTCACGCTTGTGCGGTGCTGCCACAGGTTCAGCTCATTCTCCTCCCCTGCTACCACTTTTCTAGGATGGTTGCGTACCACCTGCCAGGTGCCAATGTACCACAGGTGGTACCCGTACCACTGGTTGAAAAGCCCTGCTCTAGAGTGCAATTCAGAAAACCTTTCCATAGAATTTGAAGCAGAATTCAGCTAACCACACTGAAGTTAAATTGTACATCTAAAGTAACTTTTAAGCAAAAACACTTTCTGAAAGAGATATGCAATGCAATATTACATTGGTAAAAAAATATTAGACTTACTTAGAACATACTACATGAGTGATGACGTCTCTGTGCATATAACTACGCTCATACATTGAAGCACTGGGAAGATTATCAAGGTAGACACGTTCAAACTCAAGAACTATGAAGAAAGTAAGAAACATTTTTAATGAAAATGCTTCACTTAGATTTGATTTAAAGCAAAATTTAACAAGACTTTTTAGTTAGAGCAATACAAATATCAATAATCTCAATTCCATAGCTATGTGCCCTATGTGTATAATTTAATCCCAGTACAAACAACAATGGAATATGTGTAAGATCACATGGCTGAAATCCTTTCATTCTAAATCATTTTAATGATGATAATGATTATATTTTTATTTCACCTTTTTAAAAATGTATTTTGGTCAATTCAAGATAGCAAACATACCTAACATTCCTATTTTTTCACAATAACTCTGATGGGATCCACAAAGTGAGTTGCTCTGTCACAATTCCTTTGAAAAAACATTCCTCCAGAGATTTATGACCCCCAACTGACCTATTTAAATGTCTTAAAACCTGCCTTTTCCTTCAGGCTTTGGATTAGGTTGCATGGTGAGTCTCTGGTGGATATACTGTATGTTGAGAGATGTTAGTTCATTTTGTTTAGAAGGCTTAGTAGTTTTTTTCATTATTGTTAATTTATTTTTAAGATTGTACACCACCTAAGCTGCTATGAAGTCTGAGGACCTTACAAATTTGATAAATAAGCAAATAAACTTTTATAAGAAAAATATTGTAAGTTTGGGTACTCTGGTAATTAATTTAACAATCTGCACATCAGTTAAAAAAGGGAAATGATAAATAGGGGTAATATAAATTGTCTTAATAGGACTTGTAGAAGAATTAGCAAGTAGTATGCTGGAATTTCACAGTGCACAAGTTAACCACATGGAGTGGTGGGGCATTCCCAATATACAATAAGCTACAAAAAAAATCTAAACAAGTCCTAAAACCAATCAAGTGTTGGCCCATTTACTAACGAACCAAATACTACATCCAGTCAGTGGGAAAAATAACCCCAAACTGTTCATAATAACAGTAAATAGTAATCTTGATAACAGTATTGACAAATGCCACAATATATGTGGGTCTAAGTGTGTATGAATGCACAAATACTATAGGTCAGGGATGTCAAACTGCCGGAAGCCGCGTCCACCCCATTGCCAGCAATGGCAAAACCGGCCCGATACGTTGCGCGACGTCATGTGACGTCGCAAGTTTGACATGCCTGCTATAGGTGGATTAAATCATGTGAAACCCAAAGGTTTATAGATACAAGTATACAGTTACAAGCTTGCCACTTCCAGGAAATATACATCAATTTAATCCACAGATTTGAAGGCTGCTCTAAATCAATGAGTGCTGAGTGGAAACTTGTGATTTAAAGATAATGACAAGGAAACCCAGCTGGATTAGATTTAGATTGCAATCTTGCAACTCTGTAGTTGGCATTAGTTAACGTTAAATGCAATAGGATTCCCTGAGAAAAAAATGTCTGGAATCAGTGTCAGGATTGACGGCGCTATAGGTACTACTCCACTCTTGATCTTCCGGATTAATTTTATTTTTATTTATAATTTATTAGATTTTTATCCCATCATTACTACTTTATATTTATTGATTGATTCAATTTCTATAGCCCACAAGTCATAAAAGAGTCAAGCTTGAAGATCCCTGCTATAGCCATTCAACTCAACCAAGTGGCTGGGTCCCTATTCCTCCCTTACCTCTTCTCTTTTTCGCCTGCACAGCCTCCCCAGGTAGGGGCCCAACCCAACGCTCTTGGTCTTTGTCTCCTTCCTCCTCAGCCCCTTCATGTTTTTCAGCCACCTCCTTCTCCTCTTCTTCCTTCTCTTCCTCCTTTTCTTCTTCTCGAGCCCTTCTTTTGCGAACACATTCGGCCGACGCCATGTTGCCTTACGTCATCTTCTGACGACAAGTCGCCGAGGGCCATTCGCGAGCCATCCCGTAATGACGCATATACGCATTCCCACGCTAACCTTTCGAGCGGCCAATGAGAACGCAGCCCGCGCGGATTTGGACGCGAGGGAACGTCCTCGAGTGTCGGAGTTCCCCGAGAGGCGAAAGGGGCAGAAGGAGGGAGCAGAACTATTGCTATGGTAATGTCGGATGGGAGGCGGTGCGTCTCCGGGTAGAACAGCAACGGTAGAAGCGGCACGAACGCTTCCATCCGTTTCACTGAGAAGGTTGCAACAGAATGTCTGGTTTCTGAGAAACGGTTGCCTGTCCGGGAGGGTTAGGGGAACGTGTGGTCTTCCAGATGTCGCTGAACCACATCTGGCAGCCCTGGTCACTTGGGATGAGGCTGCGGGGAGCTATGATTCAGCAACAGTAGAAGGCCTTAGGTCAGGGGTAGGCAACCTCGGCTCTTTTATGACTCGTGGACTTCAACTCCCAGAATTCCTGAGTCAGCTATGCTGACTCAGGAATTCTGGGAGTTGAAGTCCACGAGTCATAAAAGAGCCGAGGTTGCCTACCCCTGCCTTAGGTGCTTAGTCCCTGCTCTAAAGGACTGCAGCAGTACTGTTTATAATTAGTTATATTTTTCTTTGTAATATATTCTTTAAAGCTTTTTTTGCACTTGGGGTTTTTTATTTTTATTTTTTTTTAAAAAAACTTTTATAAAATAAAGTAAATATATATTTTGGTATCAACTATTGATGTGTATGGTGGTTTTGCTTAAACTGTTTTATGCTCTGCTTTTAGTTACAAACTCCTTTTATGTCAACAATAAATACAAATAATACTGTTCCTAGGCTGAGAAACTTGCCAAAAACTTTTCTTCAGATAAGCAAGACGTGTGTTCAAGATCACCTAACATGTTATTAGATTCAGAAGATTCCAAAGAACAACTCTTAGAAGAATGTGAAGAAATATGGAAACAAGTGGAGGAGGTAATAAGCAATAATTGCAAGTATTTATAAGATAAGTGAAGCTATGCATCTGAATATTTGCTGTTAATTTTCTTGTTTCTTCCTCAGCCTAAGCAGAAAGATGAACTTTACTATCATTACAAAAAAATCATTAACTTTAAGATACAAATAAACATTCCCAAAAAACCTTTTGGAAAACTAATCAAAGTGTTAATTCTCACATTATTTTTAACATAATGGCATGGAATAAATTATAAATAAAAGTTTACTTTATAAAGTAAAGTTCATCTTAAAGTTATTTTAATATTAGGAATGTTTTTAAAACGATAAGCATTATATAATATAAATCTATAGATATTTCTTAGACACGATTATTCTAAAAATGTTTTCTATTTAATCTCAATAGGAGATAAATTATTGATCAAACTGATCTGTATCTTAAATAATAAACTTTTTAAGTGGAGTTAAGAATATGCTTTATTACTATAAGCTTACATTTAATTTTTTATATCCCTTTCTCCTTTGAAGTGCCATACCAAATTATCTCTTCAAAATGTTGAAACTCTTCCAGTTTCAGATCTCAAGGTAAGAGTAAAATTTCAGAAGTAAGTTTTCTAAGCAATGAAACCTTGTCAAAAGACTAATTGGGGAAATGGGGTTTCTGTTACTCAAGAATGTCAGAAAATAGGGCAATGGGAATTGAATATATCATTGATGTAAATTGGTAGATTACTGTGGAAATTTTGCAAAATTTGTTTCATTGGTTAAAATGGAGCTTCACAGTATAATGCATTGACAACATGGTATGATAGTGAAGGTGTTGGATTACCAGTAGGAAGTTTTGGTCCATTGTCATCCACAAAAGATTGTGTGATTTAGGACTCTCATAGCCCAAATTACTTTACAAGGTAGTTGTCATGGAGAAAAAGCAAAAAAGGGAGTACTATGTATGCTGTCTTGACCTCTGGCATGAAAGGTAGAATAGAGATCAAATAAACTTTAACAAAATAATAAATTTCCATATACATAAATTATAATTATTTTTTTTAATAAAAACACCTGTCTTCTGGAATACAGTAGTTCCAGGTTAAAAGCAAACATTAACTTTTTATGAAGTAGGGAACCTAAGGACTGCTGGAAATTGCTGTATACAGAGAAATAACGAGGTACCAAACAGTTGGCAGCTATCTGTTGGAGATTATTTAATTTGGATTCTAGATCTGAGCATAGGATTTGACTTGGTGACCTGAATGGCCCCTTCTAATTCTATGATTTTGCTGAGTTACCAACATCATATTGATATGCTGCTGAAACTAATTTAGCAATACATGAACGGCTGTAAAGTTCATACAAGTATATTTTAACTTTGTTCTGAGAGCATAGATTTTGCCAGAACATAAATATGGGAGGGAATTATGCTTCTCAGTCTCATGCTTCAACTGGGATAGTTTTGAAACTTTATTTCAAACACTGTATATAAAAATAGTCACCCAAATTTGTTTAATAGAGAGATGGGTGACCTACAAATTGCATAAATAAATAAAAATAAATACATATTGTGATAATGTTTAAATTTTATCATATTTGACAGCTTTCATTGTTAACAAAACGATTCAAGGCTCTGTCAGCTGAATTTAACCAATGGCAAAAAAGAGAGCCAGAAAGTAAGTTTTTTTATTTGGATTGAATTATATACAAAGTTATAAAATCTGAAGTATTGAATATACAATTGTACCTTCTATAGAATATATAATAATTGTACTAAATTAGTGCCACAGCTTTTATCTGTTGTATCATATTGTATATGTTGGCCAATAAATTTAATAAATAAAATAGGTATTGTATCGTATCATATATATTCTCTTTATTTTAGGCCTCCTTTTCTCTCTTCGATGTGCAAATTTAAGACACTACAGTATTCCTTATTCTTAGTTCCTTTGGAAATTGACATCTTGTTTTGAGTTTTAAGTAATCTGTAATCAATGAGATAATTTTAATTGAGCAGTTGGATTTCTTTCCTTTCCGTTCATGTCCTTTAAAACAAGCAAATGTGTGAAACAGATTACAATATTTTTTATTTAGAATATTTATATAGCTGCCTATCTCACAAACATGTGACTATAAATACAACAGTTAAGAACTCTAATAAACTACAAACAATAAAAAATAAAATAAATGTAAACATATTAAATAAATAATCAAACAAAACCCAAGAAAACAAGAGAACAAACATTATTTAATCGCATCCAGCTACATTGCAGGCTCTCCCTGGGATCCCAAGGCTGGTGAAAAAGTGTTTTAAGGGCCTTCTGGTATGGAAGGCTAACAAAGATAGGGCTAATCTCACCTTCCGGGAAATGATGCTCCAGAGTGTGGGAGTACAGCAGAAAGGTATGCCACCTGGGCCCTGTCATGAAGCTCTTTTGGGTTCTCAGTATGTTTTCCCCTATCTGACTGATGGGACAGATAAATGTAATTGGGGTGACCCTTCAAATAATCTGGTCCTGTGCCATTATAGAACTTTAAAATCAAACCAGCACCTTGAATTTTATTCAACAAATTGGTAACCAATGCAGCTTGTGAAATGGAAGATAGTAGTCAGCTTGAGATGTTTCTAAACAGATAGTCACTGTTATCAGAACTGTCTGGAAAGTATAGCAAGATCTGTGAATAATAACAAGGAGTGGTCAAAGATGATTGATTGTCTGTTCCTTCTACTTGACTCTTTCCAAGCTTTTGACAGAAAGAAAAAGCCTCTTTTAGATGATGTTTCCTAACAACAGTATATTTTTTCATAATCAATCCTGAAAGAAAATAATAGGTAATAAAATACTTCCCCTAAATCAGCGGTTCTCAACCTATGGGTCAGGACCCCATTTGGGGTCGATCGACCATTTCACGGGGGTCGCCAAGCAAGGCTGTCCGCCATTTTTTTTCCCTTTTCTGGCGGGTGCCTTACCTCCCTTAACCTGGCCCAGCTGGTGGTCGGCCTGCTCCGTCTCTGCCGCTTGCCAGCTACGCCTCGGCCGGCGCAGGGGGCGGAACCACGCATGCGCGACGCTTCCGGGCAGGGAAAGTCCTCGACTTATGACCGGTTGGGTAGTCCTCGACTTACGACCGGTTTAGTTCTTGACTTACG